GAGAGTCGTTTTTCCCTCATGGACCTCCATAAGTGAAACAGCTACTTAACTATACCTCTATAAGCGACAGTCGAGCTTTATTTATTTATATTATTTAGGAGGAACAAATGAAAAACAAATTACAAATTGAACATCTGCTATTTTATGACTCAGTCTTAACTTTCGTGGAATTTCCTACCATTGTTTTTTGTAATGTTTTCTCGTCAATATTGAATATTCTATTTCGTGGAACTAAATAACGTTGTTATTTTATCGTATGCTTTTCGAATGGACACGTGTGCTTGTGTACCGTCTTGTTTGTCGAACTTACTCAGTTTATCGTTAATAAATTGCGAAGGAAAGTTCTGTTCTGCATCATGTCAAAACGGAAAATTAAAGTACTGTCATTAAGTGATAAACTTAAAATAATTAATGCGTTTGAATCCGGAAAATCGCGAAATGAAGTTCAGAGGGTGCATTAAGGAGAAACTCGGGTTAGTGAGAAACCTCTATAAGCGAGAATANCTGCATCATGTCAAAACGGAAAATTAAAGTACTGTCATTAAGTGATAAACTTAAAATAATTAATGCGTTTGAATCCGGAAAATCGCGAAATGAAGTTCAGAGGGTGCATTAAGGAGAAACTCGGGTTAGTGAGAAACCTCTATAAGCGAGAATAAGATTGTGCTCCCTTGAACTCTCGCTTATCCAGGTTTGACTGTATTTTAGAATTTATTTATATACCTATATTATCGCCTTTTTGTCTACATGCGCAAATGAGCTTGCAAATTGTGTTAAGTGGTGTACAGCTGCAGATAAAAAGAAGCAGTATAGCGGTGCATCAGTAATTACACAAATGTAGGTATTTTTTTATAATTACGCAATATAGATAATATCTGTTTAAGGTAAATAATAATATAGAATAAATGTAATTTCTAATTTGCGTATTACATTTATTGTATTTATTATGCTTTATGGTGGTCATTCTCGAACTCAGATACCTACCAATTTTTTTTTTTTTTTTTTTCAGTAAGTATTAGCGTCAGACTTCCACATTTTAACTCCACCATATTAGTTTCATTCGAAATTTTTTACTATTAACTTATTATAGCAGTGTTCTAGGTGTACAAACGACCCCACAGCCCATTTGACAGGCTGTAACCAAACCTCATAAAGATCAAAATTTGATTGTCGGGACACACCTTGACATATGAGATCGAAGTTTCAATTGTACTACTATACTTTGTACTATTAAACTATGTATAACTAGCGACCCGTCATGGCTTCGCTTCGGAAACTGTAATTTATGATTGATTTCTCCACTATTTAATGGATGTTATTATACATATCAACCTTCCTCTTCAATCACTCTATCTATTAAAAAAACCGCATCAAAATCCGTTGCGTAGTTTTAATGATTTAAGCATACATAGGGATATAGGGACAGAGAAAGCGACTTTGTTTTATACTATGTAGTGATGTATGATCTTTAGCAGTTTGTTGGTCCATCGCGTAGGAGCCCTGCCCACGCTGCTTTAATTAAACTTTGCTTAATTTCAATTTCCAAATGCAGTTACAGTTAAAGAATTTAGATTCCGGCCTTAAATACACATAACATTGAAACCAGAGAAATATTTATAAACGCTGCATTTTGTCGGTTATCGCGAGTCCTAAAATAATGTATGAATCATTAATATTTATTAAGTCGCAAAATTTAAACCGCACAATGATAGCACGTACCTATGCCTTACCGCTGGCACAAAATATACGAATGCTATTGAGAACAGATTTCCTTATACATGAATGCCTGTCTCATTAAAAATTATAAGAATATTTTTTTGATCGTTTTTCAGATTGTAATATATTTTAAAGATATATGTCGAGAACGGCGCTTAAATAAAATAAAGTAAATTATAATAAATATTTAAGGCACTACTAGTTACCCACTGAGTTTCTCGCCGGATCTTCTCAGTGGGGCAGATTCCGATACGGTAGTAGATTCAGCGAAGCACTGCTCTTGCTAAATTTTTTTATTGCTTAGGTGGGTGGACGAGCTCACAGTCCACATGGTGTTAAGTGGTTACTGGAGCCCATAGACATCTACAACGTAAATGCGCCACCCACTTTGAGACATAAGCTCTAAGGTCTCAAGTATAGTTACAGCGGCTGCCCCACCTTTCAAACCGAAACGCATTACTGCTTCACGGCAGAAATAAGCAGGGTGGTGGTACCTACCCGCGCGGACTCTCAAGGGGTCCTACCACCAGTAAAGGCTGGTCTTAGCAATTCTCTCAGGTTGAGCCCGTGAGCTCACCTACCAGTCCGCGTGAAGTTGGAATAGCCCCTTAGGCTACCAACGATTAGGCAGGGGGAAAAAAAGAAGCACTACTGGCAGTTCCACTGGCTATAGGACCCGTGAGCTCGCACGAATAAGAACCATCACTCTGCCAAATTATACCGCGATACAGAAATACGTTCCAGTTTTAAGGGTGGGCAGCCGATGTACTACAAAACTGCCTCACAACCAAGGGTGGATACAGCTTTGGCGCCAGGAGGGGGTCACATAGTCGTGGTCAAGTCAAGAACTTATAATTTAATTTTGATAACAATAGATACAAGTGAAAAGTAGGTATTTTACTAATATACGTAAGTACTGTACTTAAAAATATTTATTCTTTATTGTACACTTGAACACATAATAACTTGTACATATACACGTACATATTGGCATCTTTTCTTGAGGACATCCAGAGAAGCACTATCACGCACGGAATTAGGCAGCCTATTTATATTACATAACCGTGGTGAATGATTTGTTATAACAGCTAAAGGTATGTCGAGGGGTACCTATGACGCAAAACTCAGCAAAAGTGAAGAGGTGGTACGACACGGGTTTCTAACAAACAAAATAGAAACAGACAAAATACATATACATATTTAAATAACAAAATCAATTTTTCTTTTACGTCTTCTCCAGAAAGGCGTTATTACGTCATTTACGTCAATGGGTACGTTTTTATGAACGTGCAAAAGTGCCAGTCCGGTTAGGCGATCTTCAACCACTGAAGATGTAATACAAAGTTATTATATTATATTAAATAAATTAAATATTGAAGGTATGCAGTTACATAAAATCTGTATGGTGACAAAATATATAAATAAAATCATTATGTTCAATTAGTGGTCCACCTAAGTCCTGGAACCAGCTCAGGGGGNGGGTACGTTTTTATGAACGTGCAAAAGTGCCAGTCCGGTTAGGCGATCTTCAACCACTGAAGATGTAATACAAAGTTATTATATTATATTAAATAAATTAAATATTGAAGGTATGCAGTTACATAAAATCTGTATGGTGACAAAATATATAAATAAAATCATTATGTTCAATTAGTGGTCCACCTAAGTCCTGGAACCAGCTCGGGGGGGGGGTCATGACCCCATGAACTTACTGTAGGTAGTTATGGTAGCTTAATCATTAGATATTTATTTTGGGTGATTGAACAGTTCTCTCTGGTATTAAAAGAGATACTATGTATGTACATGATATAGACAATTATTTATCATATAATATATACTAGATTCCCCTAAAAGGGAAGATATATAACACCTTAATAAGGCCTGCCGTCTTGTATGGATCAGCTTGTTGGACAACAAAAGTGGCGGATGAAAGGCGATTGCAGGGCAGCAGAGATGCGAATGTTGCGATGGATGTGTGGAATAACGAGAATGGATAGCATACGGAATGAATTTGTTAGAGGAAGTCTGAAAGTGGCACCTGTGACAGTGAAGCTGAGAGGTGCGCGTTTGGGATGGTATGGACATGTGATGAGACGAAATGAAAATGAGGTTGGTAAGAGTGTTAACTATGAATGTGGAAGGATATAGAGGAAGAGGTAGACCTAAGAAATGGATGGATTGCGTGAAAGACGATATGGGAAAGAGGGAAGTGAGCGAAGAAATGGTATATGATAGAAGAGTATGGAAGGAGAAAACATGTTGCGCCGACCCCAGTTGACTGGGAGAAGGGCAGGATAATGAATGATGATAATATATACTAGATTTACTGTGTGCCGTGCATACAAACAGTAGGTAATGCGGTAAAAAGGTGCGACGGTCTAAAGTTTATCTCTAAATTAGGAACGACCGTTGATTTTTTTTAAAGCCTCAACATAAATCAGATTAAAAGGCTTTCAGAATAAGAAGTCTTTAATATATCATTACACAAATCGTTACATAAATTCTTCATATTAAAATTACTACTAGCCGAGGCTTGATGTTGTTCATCATATCTGGTACGAAGTAATTATTTGAGAGAGAAAATAATGTGAGACTAAGATATCGAACTCATGTTCCAGCGTGGAAGTAGGTAGCGTAGGTAGTGTACGGACTGCGTTAAAAATACACAACAAAGATACCTTTTTACGCTATATTTATAGAAAAAAAAAAAGAGTGGGAAGTGTTCTTCTTACTAATGTTTATGTCATTCTAATTCATTCTATGCACAGACTCACAATTGTATGCCTTAGTTTCTGATGAGATATTGTAATTAAATATTTACATAATCACATAAAGGGCCTTTAGAAGTGGGAGGAAGGGCGGTGTTTAAAGACATTCTCACGTAATATTGTACATCTCCAAAAGTGCGTCTACCATTGAATTGTAATTGACTTTTCAGAATACCTTGCATTAGGTAAAACAAGTATGAAAACTTTTTTTTTAATTTACTCAAGAAAGGTCTTTGTCCTTCATAAAGCCAAAATCAGCCTTACGTAACTAACGAATGGTCCTTAGAGCATACCAAAAAAAACCTTACTGATTCTTAAAACAAATAGAATCTACCTAATAGACTAAATATTATTACTACTTAAAATGATAAAAATAATTTTCTGATATCCTCACATCTGCGAGTTTCAGAATTTTATTTTGATTACATTGATCTAAAGCTGATTTTACAATCATCAATTCAATCGATTTCCAGCTTAAGTTTAAGTTTTATTACTATTTTACACAAACATATTTTCGTTTTAATCATCAACATTAACTTGAATTTCTTCAATACCATCACTCTCCGTGACCAAGGCTCGTTCCAATATTACTCTCCCTTCCTTGTATCTGAAAGAAGAAATACAAAGTTAAAAGAACTTACTTTTATTTTTTACCAAAAACTTTGGGGTGCACTTTGTGGCTATCCACTATCAGTATCAAAACTGAATGCATACAACTGTTTTCAGATTTTGTGAAAAACACATGTACCTATGTATGTATAGTAACCGGCAAACTTCTTGAGCAAATGACCTTGACTGCGCAGAACCGAATTTTAGATCACTTTGGTGGTGAGGGTGAGGCGCGACGGCAGGGGAAATCGTATCGAGCGCGTTATTGGTAGATCAGTCGAACCTTGCGTCCCGCACCGCGCCCTCGTTCCGCTTGCTCCCAAAAGTACGCTTGCGTACAGTGAAAAGTCTATCGTTATTAATCGTTAAGTTATTTGTTATAATTGCTTGTTGACTTTGTTGCCATTGCTATTTGTTGAGTGTTTGTTGATTTTTTTATAAAAAATACACTATGCCGCGAAAAACTGGTGTAGTATTCAAAAGAAAGGGTAGAAAAATTGTGTACGACGTATATTGCTTCATTATAAAACATCCGTGAGTACTGTTAGGTGCATTATTAACGAAGCTAAAGGCTCTGGCTTGCTCGCCGTGTTTCGGACTCCGGGTAAGAAAAGATCAAGGAAGAAGAAAGTTACCGGAATGGATAGTTTCATTCCATCTGTAATCAAAAGATGTAATAATAACTACATAACAAGCAGCGAAACTCCGTAACGTAGAAAGGCTTCGAAAAAATTAAAGAAGATATAAATTTTAATGGCTCGGTATGAAGTTTACGACGAATTATGAAAGAGCTAGGCTTCAGATGGAAAAAAACAGAAAATAATCGAAAGCTGGTAATTGAAAAAAGTTACATTCGATTACTACGAATCGAATAACTTCAAAATATAATTTGATGGTCAAGATTATGATAACGAAAAAAAATTTACAAATACCAGCTTCGCTTCAACTGAACCAAGACCTGGCAACAGCTCTAGTTTTGACTTAATAGAAGGAATATCTATTTTACCCCAAGATTAAATTATTACAATTTTTTACCTATTTTTTTTTTTGATGTAAATATATAAATAAATACATAATAATATGTTGATTTTAATAATTTAATTGCATTATGACGCAGAGTAAATAATGTTTTTGCACGTGAGTGTACCATGCGCAAACTTACCCCCACTACGTCAACAAATGCTCAAGAAGTTTGCCGGCTATTATAATATGAAGTGTTTTTTTATTATTATTGAAGTTTTTCAATATATGATTTAAAAAAACTACTTATGGTGAGACGTTTTGTGACTCCGTACGGGTGGCTACGATCACCCAGATTGTTTCTGCCGTGAAGCAGTATTGTGTTTCGGTTTAAAGGGTGGGGCAGCCATTGTACTGTAAAAACGGAGAACTTAAAACTCATATTTCAAGGTGGACTCCGGTAAACACTTAACGTCAGGTGGGCCGTGAGCTTGTGAGCTTGTATTGTATATGTTTCTCTGTTCATACGATTATAGTTTGCTAGAAGACAATTCATCTCGGAGTTGAGGTTTTCTATGCAGCATTTAAATTGTTATTTTTGTTCTAAAATTTCTGTATACAAATAAAAAAATTAAGGAATACATTTTTTAGTTTGTTCATGATGTGGAGATAAAAGATTGAAGACATAATAATATCTACAAGCTCTTATTCAGTTGGAATCATCTAAAACAACCAATATTTTATATTATGTGTTACCTTTGATTCTCTTCAGTAGCAAATTCATATACCCAACCCAGCTTCGTACCGCAGTTCTTACAAGAAACATCACGCACCATGTGACGTCCTGTTAGCATCACACGATCCTGAACTTCCGAATAGATTAGATTCACAACCTTGTGGAATAAGAATGCACGACCTAATTGAAAAATTGAAAATGAACAATTAAGACTATCCAAGGACAGGTATATTTTCCTATTTTTATTGAGTAATTGAGTACTATGTAATTGTATTTAGTGATTAATATTTTTTGCGAACATACCATGTACAGTTTCAATAATAAAAGACCACCACTAAATCACTGTTTTTTTTTGCCTAAATGGGTGAGTTTGCAAAAGAAGATAAATCTATTTGCATGAAGATTACAGTGCAATGAAAACTTTGAAAGTGACAGAACAACAAATTAAATATCCGACATAAATTCAATAAATATAAGAGTTAGTATGTGAATGTCGGTTGAATGTTTCATATAATATTTGTAAATACCTGTAGCTCCAGTAAATCGCGTACTTATTAATTCGGAACGATTCGTAAGATTGACATCGCATGATGCGCATGAAAATAGTCGCGTTCCTCCAATATGATCAAGAAATATTTTACCCATTTTTTAAAGTTTAATCTAGTCAGTACAGATAAATTTATTTGGAAATTGAATTGTCCTTTGTCTCCATAACAAAAACAAGCAATCATCTGTTTTTTGACATTTTAGACATTTCTAGACGTTTGACATTACCAGCTGTTCTAATGAGATTTGATTCTTTTTTTATTCATTTTAAAGTTTGCCTGACGAATTAAGTTACGATATCAATTAAAGAAATATTTCTTCATATTGTATTATAAATTCAAACATACTCTTAACGGATAACTTAAATACTTTTTTTTATATGTTTTTTTTTCACTCTTTGAGCAGAAAGTACTCCATCAACCTAATATTTTAGTTACTAAGCAACAGTATCATTTCACTCACACAAGAATCATGATTTTTTACAAAAGTAAACACATTCACGTCTATTATTTTATTTTTACAAAATCAACTTAGTTAGTAGTAAAGTTGTTAACTAGTTGTAATGGACGGGGTTAAAGAAGAAATAATTCACCAAACGGCACTAAAATTAGCGGAAGAAATAAAAAACTTATCAATATACAAATCTTTTTATAACGATGTACAGGCAAGTTCTTACATAAAAATATTTGAGTAAAATTTTACATTATTATAGGATTCCGAACGGACGCAAATTAATATACCTGAATTATTATGTTTCATACCTGACAGAAACATAAACCTTACAGTCTTAAATCACAATTTTACAACAAACCACCCAAATACCTCGTAAAATAAACAAAATATTACTGCTATTTATTTTAGTTTATTTATTGTAAGCAATTACTAGAGTCGATGTAGACATACAACATGAATATCGTCGTCGAACATATACAAGATTGCAGTCTTATTGGTATTGGAATCACTTTCCCAATCCTAACATTATTTCTTTGAAGCAAATTAGATAACGGGGTCGTATCAACTCATTAACGCTCACCATACAATGCACAAAAAGAATTTTATTAGAATTTTATGGAACGTTAGGTCAGGAACTAAATATAGGTAGGTACAGCAGTACTCTTATCTACTGTTATGTAGGGATGATTGAAAGTAGTAGCGATTCCATGTGTAAATAGTATAGCTTTCTTAAAGATTGGAATTCTTCAATCTACACTTGGGCCGACGAGCTCGTACAGTCAGAGATTAGGTCGAAGTCTGAATCGAATTACATAACGTGCGAACTCATATGGGCCTCATTATCGAAGACTAGCCGAATTTACAAAACTGTGCGGATTAAATTTTACACTATGCTATACTCTTCGTGAAAATCGACCCTAAGGCCTTGTATACTTCACAGAAAAGTACGCATTTTGAGGTCACAAAGCTGGTGTGCGGCTGTTAGGTGGTATGTGGAAGATGAACCCATTAAAAAAGGTTTCTGCCGCTCGTATTTCGAATGTCCGAACGCCGCCAAAATTGAAAAAGGAATCGGAGATACGGTGGCGTAGTTCTACACATTGCTAACGCGCGTACCACAGATTTGAAAGCTAGAAAAGCGTTCTAAATATATTTAAACTTGTAGCTCATATCTCACGGCAAAGACCTTCTTGTTGTGTTGCATTAGGAGGCGACCATTTAATGCCATGTAGGCCATAAGGTCGTTCGCCCATTTAAGATAAATTAAAAACATACTGTACAGTACGGAAAGTAAGCTTTTTCCTAAATTCAGTACGAGTAGTTTTTGTTTAAGATGCAGCACGGTACCGATTCTAACGATTAGTAGGAATACTGCTATTTTGGAAATTATGTTAAAAATGTCTACTAATAATTAACTTTCAGAAGCTAGTAGCATCGCCAAATGTGAAAAAAGAAGACTTTAAACAAACGCTGCAGCAGGCTATGAAAGAAAAGGGATTAGACACGAAATTAAGGAACACTGTTTTCCATTGGGTTCGAACGCAAAGTAAACAGAATGTGAGTGATCCTGTTTTATATCAGAAAAAAATTCTTTTTATTATATACTAGCTTTTGCTTGCGACTTTGTCCGCGTGGAATAGCTCACAAATAATGCTTTATTTTAGAACAAATTTGGTTAGCATAAAAAACGTTATAGTGAGCCAACCTTAACATATAGACATATGCTGTCGCGGACTTTTTTTAGATCTTTTAAAGGGGAACAATTCTGTCATATATCATTTTAGCGAAACTTTAACCGTTTCTGCAGCGCACGCAGCAGAAGCTCTCAAAAGTGAAAAAACCCCGATTTTGAAACATTCTGTATTGGTGCTCCGTCCGCCTGTGCCTAGAAGCACCTAGAGTGTATCGGGAGGATCCGATAGGACATTTTTAGGGCGACAACAACTTTGTATTGCTTCGTCACCTGGGTCACACCGAAGCACTATGTTCCCTCAGTGGTCATTCAAGCACGTCATATATGCAAGTATATTTATATGTTGTTACAGAAATTAGATCCTTTAACTTCACTATCAAAAGCGAGCGCACAATGGGAGAAGAGAATACACAAATCATTAAATTCCATGTGTTCAGATCTCGAAACGTCATTAGCGAAAATACGGCCACAAAGCGAACAGGACGAATTAGCTGATAAATGGAATGAATTGAGCACATACAATTTAGGTGAGAACAAAAACTGTCTGGTTTTTTTACCTAAATTATTAGCTATGAGGTCTTCGGAAGGAAATTGTGAATTGTGCTGGTAGGACCTCTTGTACTGCTGGTAGGATCTCATGTGAATCCGCACGGAACCACCCTGCCCATTTCTGACGGGAAGCAGTAATGCGTTTCGGCCTGAAGGGTGGAGCAGCCGTTGTAACTATACTGAGATCTTAGAACTTATATCTGGTGGGTGGCGCATTTACGTTGTAGATGTCTGGGCTGTGAGCTCGCTCACCCATCTATGGAATTAAAAAAAAATGAAAGATTTTATAGGTGGTAAAAGAACTGTCTCGTTAAACAAACTATTATTTTTAAAGTTTTATGAAATACCTTAATCCAAGATTTGCCTATGGAAGTCGCTTTATCGCTGATAAATAGCATTTAATTTACAGATTTAACAAAGTACCGGCCAGTTTACGCTCCGAAAGATTTTTTAGAAGTTTTGTTAACACTATCCGGATATGTTCCATTCACGAGAGAGTACGTATCTTGTTATCTTAATATACTATTTCTAATATTATGATTTATGGTAAATACTCCCAAAAATAAAGAAATTTTGCCAATGCATTATTAAGTGACTCTCTGATTTTTTTTAAAACTATGTTCGTACAAAGATATTTATTAATAATACTAAAGAACTAAAACTCCAATGTTCTCGATTATTTTCTTTAATAAACTTAATTTCCAGAGACGAGCCAAAGTGGGAATTCGCGCATCTACCCCTTCAGGTGAAGACTTTAGATCAAATCGTAAGCATTTAATATGTTTATTTTATCTATTTATAAATTAGCAAAGACAAAATATTTAAATACCGCTTTTTGTATTTTGTAGCTATTGATAATATTTAAAGATGTTATAATAAAAACTATACTTTTCTTTTCAAAAATTCAATGACAAGATGAATAAGAAAATGAAAGAACTAAGATAATGTTTATGAGAGCACAGATCCACCGTCCACCCGTTTTTTAATACATCGCGCCAAAATGTGTTAGCGGTTCCTAGACAATAGCTGTCATTGCCAGTATTTGATAAAGAAAAACTCCCAAAAATGAGGACTAAGTTACTAAGGACTAAGTGAAAAAAATTACATAGACATCGCTCCTACTGACTAACTCTCCTTTTAAAACAGCGGAATGAGCCACGTAAACGTATCAGATACGCATAACAGCGTTTACGAAAAAAATTCAGTTTCAGGTCTCCTGTAAATGCTGGAGGATAATTTCTTCAGTATAAATGTTGACCTACACATAAAGTTGGTTACCAGTACCCGAAAACATAATATCTTCATACAATGAATTCCACTACTTAGGTAAAAAAATATTTTTTTGATTCGGGATATTTTCATTCCAGAGAAAATTATACTTGGAGTGGTCAAGCGGGGAGTCACTTTTAGGCGCTAATCCGCACATGGCGAGCGCAGTGCCAGGGTTCGTCACTCTAGAGGCTGAGCGTGTCAGCTTGGGCGAAAGAGTAGCGGCTCTGGGTTACGCACCCGTGGTACAGGAATATTTGAAGAAGGGCAGCCCACAGTGTCTAAGGGCCAAATTGTGGGCTCAAGTTCTAGGCTCGGAGATCAAGGGACAGGTTTGTTTGAAGCATAGGCTCCTTGACTATTTTTGTAATGTTTGTTATCTTTCTAGATTGTCAGAGTGTTTTGTGTTAGATGGTTATTAAATTATATGTTGATTAAAAAGTGCTATTATAAATCACTACTATTTTATAACACCTACTGCTATTTTACATATTATTATGGTCAGGGCGGTCAGGTTGGTTATTCAAAATGGGAAATATTACCTGTATAAAGTCGATTTTTACCTATAAAAAGCGAGATTTTGCTTTAACCGGCTGCAGGGTGTACTTATTATTAGCCTGCACAGGTAGATACGTACATGTGTCTCGCCTATTTCAGTTGCGAAGCCGACACACATCCCAGATAATAGCAAATGGCAAGTGGCACAATATAGACTTCCTCCTCATGTCTCAAGAATGGTGGTAATATTCCAGTCAGGATATCTGTAAGCAGTTAACATTGGGTGGATCGTGACTTTCTTGATCCAAAAACCATACTTAATTTATTTTCAGCAAATAACATATTTCAATCAACTAAAGAAAAGTGTTCTGGAAGTTGATCTGATGATAGACAAGTTAATATTCAAAGACGTGCAGCTAACTGCCTCGAATGATGATCAATATTTTGTGTTCGAAGATGTATTATACCAGGTACGCTGTTACTAAATAAACATCGACTTTTGTCTAAACAAAAGTCGCTAGCGTCTTAAGATTTGAAAAGTCACAGCCGTCTCGAAAAGTCAGACAATTCGGTGAGTTCGGCTGTCCATCGCTGCTCGTTTTCAAACTTTTAATATTACTCACCTACTGCTGGTGACCTCAAGGGGCTATGTTTCTCAATCGTTTGCAATCTTGGCAGAGTGGTCATGGTCATTTCGGGTGGTGGTGCGCTACACAATACGTCACCATTCCTATGTTATGCTGGGTTATGCTAGCTGTGCTATGGAGAGTTATGCTAGTTATGCTATGCGGGGCTATGCTAGCTATGCTATACAGAGTTGTGGTAGCTATGCTATGCGGTCTCACACACCCCGCGCACCCCTTAGGCGCGGGGACCTCGTAGGAGGTTCGGCCCCCGGCCCGAAGAAAAAAAAGGGAATGCTATATGCGGGTTATGCTAGCGCTTCACCGAATGTGTAGGCAAGCTTATTTGCTTATACTGCTCTTCAAATTATAACGAAATATTAATTCACAAGAGGATCAAAGGATCTTAATAAAAATTCCTGTGAAGGCTTATTTGAATGAAAATCATTTTAATCTTGATTGGTTATTTTCAAATAACAAATTGAATAATGTAGATTTTAAGTCATTGCCCCATCTTGCACGAATTAGTCCTTCAACTGCCCTCGCTCCTAACTGTCCCGTGCATGTTTTGTCTAGTCTCCACTATTCCTCGTGCGTGCCTTTTCTTCTTTTACCTTCTGGTCTTTTCCACACAATTACAATCTCATTTCCACCATTCGTCTTTTCTACTATACGATGTGGCCACTTCTATTTTGTTAGAATTAATTCTAATGGCACGTGGTATTATTTCATTGTGAACTTGTTTGCCAATCCTAGTTAAAATTTAATGGTAAAAAAAAATTTAGCAGTATGGCGAAACCTTTAATAATTTGGCAGCGCTAAAATTATGTTTCAGGTAATGTTATGTTTCTCCCGAGACTGCGACGTGATGCAGCAGCTCAAGGGCAGCATCGGTAGTCCTCTCACAGTCACTATAAAGGGCAAACAGACATCCACCGACAGCCTCACAGTCTTCCCTCCCAGCGGGGTCATACCTTTTCATGGATTTACTATGTATGGTAAGATAAAATATGTTTAATGCTTATCAGACAAAAGTTACTGCTGCTTTATTTACTGGTGGTAAGACCTCTTGTGAGTTCGCGCGGGTAGGTACCACCGCCCTGCCTATTTCTGCCGTGAAGCAGTAATACGGTTCGGTTTGAAGGGTGGAGCAGCCGTTCTAACTATACTGAGACTTTAGAACTCATGTCTCGAGGGGGGTGGCGCATTTACGTTGTAGATATCTATGGGCTCCAGTAACTGCTTAAAACCAGGTGGGCTGTGAGCTCGTCCACACATGGAAACCATAAAAAAAGCTGTCCCGTGACTTAGAGCTATTTGAAATCCATTATTGAGAAAATAATATATTTTTTTACGAATCATTTTAGGCAAATTATTAAAACTTTCAACATTATTCGATTCACAGCAACTCCCTTTTGTTATTTGTACGACGATCCCGTGCAACTTTACTACACGTTTCGAGCGTTCTACATAAGGTACTGGCATCGACTACATTACATATCGACACATCCACAGGTAACTAAATATTTTTGTCTTTCCACTACTTAAGTACTACTTAAAAGTTCTAGTGGCTGTCCCTTTTGGCGGCCCTTTTTAAGCATTTTAGCCAAAGGTTTTTTTAAGCACAGAAATCTCAATAATAAGACAACATTGCCAGCTTTTGAAAGTTACTGTTTAGCCTAAAGGTCTAGATACCAAGCCATAAACTACAAAAAAAAGTTACTGTCGTTTGTTACTTTATGCAAGCAATTTATAGGCAACCTTTTCCATCCTTCTTTATCTAGTGTTTAAAAAAGATACAATAGGTTTTTTTTATTGCTTAGGTGGTTGGATGAGCTCATAGCCCACCTGGTGTTTAGTGGTTACTGGAGCCCATAGACATCTGCAACGTCTTTTTTTTTCCTTCCTAAGCTGATAGCCTTGAGAGGCTATTTCAGCGGAACCTTAACTAGTAGGTGAGCTCGCGGGGCTCAAACCTGACGACGTTGCTAACACGAACCCTAGCAAGAGCAGTGCTTCGCAGAATCTACCACCGGATCGGAAACGCGACCCACTAAGAAGATCCGGCGAGAAACTCAGTGGGCTGTGTCTGAGGGATACAACGTCAATGCCGCCATCTACCTTGAGATATAAGTTCTAAGGTCTCAGTATAGTTACAACGGCTGCCCCACCCTTCAAACCGAAACGCATTACTGCTTCACGGCAGAAATAGGCAGGGTGGTGGTGCCTACCCGTGTGGACTTACAAGAAGTCCTACCGCGTGCCTGTAATTGATTCTGCGAAGCACTGCTCTTGCTAGGGCTAGTGTTAACAACGACCTCAGGTTAGAGCCGCGTGAGTTTACCTACTCGTCCGGTTACGCTGGTATAACTCTTTAGATTACCAGCTTAGGTGGGAAAAAATAAAAACCTGCGCTGAATTTTTCTACTGTCTCATGGTGATATGTGATGCGGACTTCTAGAGTATGGTGATCCGTTACGAGATAAGTATTCCTATTTTCCTTTGTTTTCACTACATGATGTTATTTTACAGGGTATAGTATCGTTATGCCTTTTGTACGAGAGGCTTTTGGAAGCGAACGAACCTTTGTTATGGATACATTTCAGAAATATAAACATTAACCCGTAAGTGTTGTCCGTATTCTAAAATAAAGCAATATAAAGGCAACCTTTTCCATCCTTCTTTATCTAGTGTTTAAAAAAGATACAATAGGTTTTTTTATTGCTTTGGTGGGTGGACGAGCTCACAGCCCACCTGGTGTTAAGTAGTTACTGGAGCCCATAGACATCTACAAATTAAAGGCGCCATCCACCTTGGGATATAAGTTCTAAGATCACAGTATAGTTACAACGGCTGCCCCACCCTTCAAACCGAAACGCATTACTGCTTCACGGCAGAAATAAGCGGGGTGGTGGTACCTACCCGTGTGAACTCACAAGAGGTCCTACCACCAGTAAAGCTACGTAACTGGTAGTGGGATTTCTTTTCAATACCATTTTAAAAGACATACACGAAATAGAGGACAAATGAACGAACCGACCTTATACTGAATAAAGATCTTGTAGATGCTCCACCACTGTAGATACAGTTAGAAGCAGCACTACTACTACTGCATCTACAGTGGTGGCCCTCGACAGCAAAGAGAACGAACATATAGGAGTAGTAAAGCCACTGACACGAACGATGGGTAACACAGCGAATATCGATATATACTGCCCTCAGTTTTTTAAGATTCCGAAGTGTTGAACAACAATAATGTATGATTGCCTAAATTCATAAGCGACAGCGATTTTGTCGAATTGTAAGGCGGTTGCCCAAGTAGTGGCGGGTAAGTGAGTCGCCACAATCTTTTAAATTTTAATTTCAGAATCAGAGTTGTATTCAAGTGGTTAATGCGGGCATTCAGTGGGCACCTACCGCCGGATCAACTGTTACTATTATGGGATGCGATACTAGGTTACGACTGCCTAGAAATTCTGCCGTTGCTGGCGCTGGCGATATTGAGTTTCAGGAAAGAGAATATCTTCCAAGTTAATACGTTGCAGAATGTCGACGCTGTTTTAGCCGATCTATCGACTATATCGGTTATACCGCTTCTGCAATTGGCTTTGATGAGAGCTTAGAAGTCCTGGCGGATTTTTGCGGGATTGAAGTTGACTTTTGCTCAGTTTTTTTAGAGATTATATAAATCAAATTATCTTTTTGTAATGTGACATGAATGACACCCTAATGACAACCTAAATACGATAAACAGTTTAGTTGAGTGGGATCGATGGACAAATATAACCCGGTCTGTAGGTACACAAGCACACTACAAACGTTACTGGAATCATATATCCGCGATGTATTTGTATCAAAAAGTAATGACCATTTGTAATTGAATAGACCAAAAAGAAAAGGAATAAAAAGAAATAATTTTTAATCTACGACACTAGAAGGTCATCACTAGGTAAACAAAGATTTTAAAGAGACTTCAACAAATCTAAAATGAAAAGGGGACAAGAAATTTTTGTTATATAAATATTTATGAACATTGTTTTTGTATAGTGTTTTCTAGACATTTTTTTTTGTAGAAGTTTGTAAATTAATAAAAGGAGTACAAAGCTGTTACATTTTGTTTCAATTGTGCATTTACATTAAGTATTGATTGGTTAATAACGTAAATACCAATACCCATCTTGAGACATGAGTTGTAAGATCTCAGTATAGTTACGGCTAGGCGGCTGCTCCTCTCTTCAAACCGAAACGCATTACTGCTTCGCGGCAGAAATAGTCAGAGCGGTGTTACCTACGTACCCGTGCAGACTCGATCGATAGACGCGTCACCACCAATAATTACTCAAATTATAATTATTTCTCCTCTGCCCCTGGCATTGCTGACGTCTATGGGCGACGGTAACCACTCCCCATCAGGTGGGCCGTGTGCTCGTCTGCCTATAAGGGCAATAAAAAAAACCCTCTAGACTTTGTTGTTAATGTCGATGCACCTAATTACTGAACTTTGCAAGTACGAATACGCCATCACCCACCTTGAGATGTGACTTGTCTCAGAAGCAGACAGGACAGCGAAACCATCACAGCACGTCCTGCCTCTCTAGTAACCATGACCAGTGAAATCAAATACAAATTTACAACATTCAGAGACATTTATTTCAATTACAATTGGGAATGTTCTATAGAACGACGGTTATAAACAACACACATGGATAAACCACGACATTTCCACTTACAAATTAAAATGGATACATTTTTATTATAATATTTAGTTGATAAACAGATAAATTGGTTATAGACAACAATACACTTCTTTGGTGTATACAAAAGTTTAAGACAATTAAAAAAAACATCCAAACACATGGACTTTGAACATGTAGAATGTGTAGCAACATTACCTTAATTTGTCATTTACTTTACTTTGACCGCTAACTACATACTTGTAAAATTCACGTTACAATTGAATGCTAACTTCACTCCGGATGTCACAATATAATTACATTCTCGAAGTTTAAGGTAATATACATTCATATAAATAACTATAATTTTTGGCAGAATTTCTCATCCAGTGAATAATTATAGGACAAAAAAAATCTTTAAACAACTCATTTAAAAACGTATTGTATGTAGAGAACTCGACTGAGATCGAATATAAAAAAAAACTACACACCAATTTGTTTAAATCATTTTTGTGTTGGAAAAAGTAAATCTGATCTAATATTTGACCATCACACATTGGCTTCCTCGCACCATTTCATACTTGCATTGTTGCAACACACACAACTGTCATCTGTGACATCATCAATTTCAATATTTTACACTTCATTTCGAAATGAGCCAGGGAAACAGTGGCATACAGCCANAAAAAAAAACTACACACCAATTTGTTTAAATCATTTTTGTGTTGGAAAAAGTAAATCTGATCTAATATTTGACCATCACACATTGGCTTCCTCGCACCATTTCATACTTGCATTGTTGCAACACACACAACTGTCATCTGTGACATCATCAATTTCAATATTTTACACTTCATTTCGAAATGAGCCAGGGAAACAGTGGCATACAGCCAGCATGCAGCGTGCCACTTTTCACTCGAGAGGCACTTGCGGCCAACGATGCCAACACACATGACGTCTTGCCTTTAGACAAAAATGCTGAGACGATATCCACATTTAACTTTCAACTTTCCCTATTACACTTTCATACAGACGACACACCAATTGCCTTCCTCGTAGAAGCTCCTGACGATCGCGAGCCGCGCGTCTCGGCAGAGCTGATCTAGTTCCCCTTCATCGAAGACGTGGTAGTATCTGAGAAAGGTGGTGTCGGGCTGTTGGAGCGGGGGCGCCTTGCTGCGCAGGTTCCAGGGCACCAGCAGATCCTTGTGCTGGAACTGCGTGCGGTTCTCGTGCACGGGCAAGTGGATGCCGCCCACCGTCAGTTTGTGCCGGTCCAGCAGCGGCGCCCGGGTCCGGGACAGGTAGCTCGACTTGGTTTGATCCTTGGCCCACACCGTGATGAGCGCTTGCCCGTTGGTCCGCAGGAGTCGGTGTATTGTTTGTAGCGAGTGGAGGCGCCGTGCCTGGATTTTTTTTTTTAAATTTCAATTCAGGAAACGAGAAACGAAGAATTAAGTTCGGTAAAAAAAAAATTGATATTCCGAGTATAACACAGTTAGTGGTTGTGTCAACTTGCCCAGAAAATTTAAAAATTCTTTATTGCTTAGATGGGTGGACGATCTCACAGCCCACCTGGTGTTAAGTGGTTACTGGAGCCCATAGACATCTACAACGTAAATTCGCCACCCACCTTGAGATATAAGTTCTAAGGTCTTAGTATAGTTATAACGGCTGCCCCGCCCTTCAAACCGAAACGCATTACTGCTTCACGGCAGAAATAGACAGGGCGGTGGTACCTACCCGTGCGGACTCATAAGAAGTCCTGCCACCAGTAATTGCGAGATTACGCAAATCATAATTTTGCAGGTTTCATTTTTATTAACGATGTTATTCCTTCACCGTTGAAGTCAATCGTGAACTTTTGTTAAGTACGTATTTCATTAGAAAAATTGGTACCCGCCTGCGGGATTCGAACACCGGTGCATCGCTAGATACGAATGCACCGAACGTCTTATCGTTTAGGCCACGACGACATAATATTATAATATCTGATCTTCCAACAATTATATCTCCCAATAACACAAGTAAATGTCACCTGTGTGCTGAAGTGGTGCACGACGGCTACGCAAATGATGAAATCAGCGCACTCGTCCTTGAGGCCGGTGTTGAGCAAGTCCAACCGGATGCAGTCGGCGCCGGATATCCGGGCCGTGAGCCCCTTGCATTCCTCTAGTAGACCGCTGCTCCTTTCACCGGCTACCTGGGAACGTTAACAGAGATAGTTAACAGTGGAGCTGACAACGAGACAGTTCAGCATCAGCATTGGGACAGTCCTCGATAGCAGTTCAACGCTACTCAAATATTACGATAATATTAATTATTAATAGGTACCATTTGCAAAATTAGGTGTTCACTCCAAAAAAAATATTATTTTATTATTTATGTTAATGTAAAATAATTGGTATCCTATTGTGGCGGTAGCCATCATACAACGCAAGATATTTGATAGATGCCTGAATCTCGCTTACGACATTTTCAAGATAAGCTTGTATATATATAAATTCCGAACAACAACATTTGGACCCTCTCGCCAGATCTTCTCAGTGGGTCGCGTTTCCGATCCGATGGTAGATTCTGCGAAGCACTTTTCTAGCTAGGGTCAGTGTTAGCAACACTCCGGTTTGAGCCCCATGAGCTCACTTACATACGCTAGGGTAAGCTGAAATAGCCTCTCAAGGCTATCAGCATAGGTAGGGAAAAAAAAACATTTGGATCGTCGGTCTACCGAGCAAATATCACCCGCTTGGTGGAAGATTTTTACTTTCTTCGTAAACCCACACTATTAAAAGAACACAAAAGCAGTGATAAAAGTGAAGTACATTATAATGACTACATTAAGTTAATAAATTTGACTGGAACATAATTATGAAATATTTGAAGAAATTTCATACAATCTTTCTGGGCCATCTTCCATTACCAGGAATAATTCCAATACTTATTTTTAAAAAAACCTACACTAACCTGCAATATATCTGTTCTGTTGAGTATATTCTTGCCATTGCCACAGCCAAGGTCCAGCACTATAGATCCAGCCGGCACGTGCTGCATGAAGTCTACAACTTTGGGCCAAGGCTTGTGCCGCGTTGTGCTGAAGTGTCCTGCGATTTGTTCGTATACCTTACAAAGAATTGAGAAGATGTTTATGCATACTTGAATAACATCTTAATTTTTGGCAGAAAATTTATTCAAAACTAGCGACCCGCCCTCGCTTCGCTTCGTAAACATTAAATTTTATTTTTGACTAGCAACCTGCCCTCGCTTCGCTTCGGAAACATTAAATTTTATTATTGATAGATGAGTCCCGCGATGTTACGGTACGACAATAACCGCGGGTAACGCCGCGAGGCAAAGCTAGTCTAAAAAAAGTAGCCTAAGTTACTCCTTATATCATCAGCTACCTATTAGTGAAAGTCTCATCAAAATCGGTTCAGCCGTTCCAGAGATTAGCCGGAACAAACAGACAAACAGACAGACAGAAAGACAGACAGACAGACAAAAATTGTAAAAAATGTTATTTTGGTGTATGTACCGTATATATATTCATATGCATGTAGTAAAAAGCGGTTATTTCAATATTACAAACAGACACTAATTTTATTTATATGTATAGATGACGTAATTTTTTTTCCTACATCAGATGAGCCATGAGAGGCTACGTCAATGTAACCTAACAAGTGGGTGAGCTCACGGGGATCAAGCCTGACGATGTTGCTAACACGAACCCTAGCAAGAGCAGTGGTTCGTAGAATCTACCACCGGATCGGAAACGCGACCCTCTGAGAAGATCCGGCCAGAAACTCAGTGGGCTGTATCTCTGGGTTAATTTACTCGCAAGCGACGGGTTCGACGACAACGATGGCCGGTGACCTGGTATTGTTAATTATTCATAGCTATATTGAAATCAATATAGCAAATCAATACAATAGTTATTTTTCGATTATGTACAGTCCTACAATGAACTTCACATGATTGAACCAGTGTTACATCCGACGGCATATTAGAAACTTTAAAGTTTTCAAGCAATTAATAGGTAGATAAAGTCTATATAATCATGACTAGCAATTCTGTGTAAAGGGATTTAATGTTTAGAAATACTGCAATATTATAATTTTGCTATAAGTTTAATGACGTATATAATGACGAATATTATGCAGCAGTTTAATTAATTTTCTAGAACCTAATTGAATTGATTTTCTTACACAGTAGCTAGAATTAAGTAAATTATGACTGTCTTTTTAAATAGTATACAGCAAACTTTTAGGGAGTACTATAAAGATTGTGTTTATTGTGTGAAGAAGTCGTTGTGGCCTAAAGGATAAGACGTCCGGTGCATTCGTATGTAGCGATGCACCGGTGTTCGAATCCCGCAGGCGGGTACAAATTTTTCTAATGAAATACGTAATTAACAAAAGTTCACGATTGACTTCAATGGTGAAGGAATAACATCGTTAATAAAAATGAAACACGCAATTACTGGTGGCAGGACTTCTTATGAGTCCGCACGGGTAGGTACCACCGCCCTGCCTATTTCCGCCGTGAAGCAGTAATGCGTTTCGGTTTGAAGGGTGGGGCAGCCGTTGTAACTATACTGAGACCTTAGAACTTATATCTCAAGGTGGGTCGCGCATTTACGTTGTAGATGTCTATGGGCTCCAGTAACCACTTAACACCAGGTGGGCTGTGAGCTCGTCCATCCATCTAAGCAATAAAAAATAAAAAATAAAAAAGATTGATGTTGACATCTGAAAAAGGCACAAACTAGGAATCTTGCAACTGTGATTACGTAAATACAGCAGAGTCAATACAGTCATATCAATAATCAAAATGAAATAATGTAACATACTTTTGAAACATTTAGCAACTATAAGTAAATTGTTAAAAAACATACTCATTAAAATGCCTCAGATTATAAATTAAGCAATTCATGCTAATAGATTTTATTTTTTCCAAAATATGCCACCTTTTGCAACTTCTTAGGAATATTGTGATCATTTTGATAGATTCTGGAAGTACATTCTAAAATGTTCTGAAAACAATTTGAAGCGATCCTATTACTAATTATGAACGAAGTAATATCCTGAATGTGTACTGAAGTTATTAATTATACTAAAATTAACATTGTGTATTGTCATTATTAATAGATTTTACCAACAGCTAATGAATGTTAGTAATACTTAAAACTAAAAATACCTGGTGCACATGTATGTCCTCTATGTTAGATGCAACATCATTGCTAATTGTCTCAGGAATATTACGTTCAATGCTATCACACAACATCTTGTATTCACATTTACATGGCCCGCATCTGGTCCATCGGAATGTCAAGGAGATTCTCATCTCCCTCTGTACAGTATCAGATGTGATCACTTTAACTTTCTCATTATCTATTAAACGAACATCAAGGACTGGGTCCCACATTCTTGGCTGTATTCCATGCTGCCAGTCATATCTGGAATTTATAATTTCCTTTTTTATCACGGAAAGTATCAAAGTAACTTACTTTTTGTAAAGTTTTTGCAAATTTTTATATATTAGTTACTGTTACAAGTTGCCTGTAAGTGATTTTGTAGAAATAACAAACTAGTATTCTTTTTATCCTTTTAGAGTTGACACTACATTAAGACACTTATCAGTTCTAGATTAAAAACGTCATGAAGGTGAAATTCCTCAAGAAAAAATACACGTTTATAAATTGATGATGATAATGATCCTTATTACTTTGTACCTTTGTTTGTAACTTTGTCTCAGAAATGCATTTATTACCTAGCTTCATCTTGCATTATCATCATTGATCTAGCCTCAACCATAACTGGCACATATTTCCCTGTGTGATGCTTCCAATCCATAACCACATTGGAGCCCAGCGATAGGGCCAGAATTGTTTCACCAAATGGACTGTGTTTGTCGACATGCGACGGGATACCTGAAAGATAAATTTCGTATTATTATTATTTTGGATTATGTAAAGAGAATGTTTATGAGATCACTTGAGATTAATTATTTGTAAGTTATGTATTGTGAGGATGACAGTACTGGATTCAAGTGGTCACAACTCTCAGACATGAGGACATTACTACTAAATCAAGAGTTCAACAACAAACAATTTCTTAGTGACTGGAAGCGAGAAAATGAATGATGAGTAACTTTAGNTATTATTATTATTTTGGATTATGTAAAGAGAATGTTTATGAGATCACTTGAGATTAATTATTTGTAAGTTATGTATTGTGAGGATGACAGTACTGGATTCAAGTGGTCACAACTCTCAGACATGAGGACATTACTACTAAATCAAGAGTTCAACAACAAACAATTTCTTAGTGACTGGAAGCGAGAAAATGAATGATGAGTAACTTTAGAAAATTCATATAATAAAGTAAATAAAAATCACCTTGCCCAGGTAAGTACTTGTTAACAGTCAGCTGAACTGGTACTCCAAGATCGTAACCATAGTGTTGCAGCCTCCTCCACAGCAATTTACAAATCTTTGGTATTTTTTCCTGCAATGGGCAACTCAAGTCAACGTCATTGCTGCCATATCTGAACTCATAACCATAATGTTTGACTTGACGGTTCTTTAATGTTGTTTCTACGTGTTGTATGTTAAAGGTATTAAGGAATAACTTCTCTTCATCTTCGGTAAGAAAATCGGGTATTATATGTAAGCCTTTAGGATTTGGATGCTTACAAATAATATCAGTATCCGGAACTGAAAAAAAATTTCATTTTACAAATATTTTGTAAACAGTAATTTAAAAAGGCAATTATTAAATTGTACGATTATTTGTTATAACCAATTATGACAAAGAGATTTGCCTTGAAATAAGATAATTCAGTAATTCAATACATTTCCAACTTACCATTTTCAACAAATGTCACATAGAGTGTTGTTCCATTCTCATCTACCTGTGCTTTCCCATTGCATGCCTCATAAAATAGTGATGCATTCTCGGCTTTATCAAACATGAGATATGAGTAGGATTCTCCTTTCTCGGCAACAAACTTAGGCAATGGTGTGTTTACCTTGTACTCTGTGAGCAGTTTCATCAGTTTTTGCTTATCAAATCCTGTAGCTTGCCCCACATTGCAAAGAATCACATTCTGTAAAGATATAAGCAATTTACCTAGTTCCAAGACATACAATACATTTAAAATAGCAGATAATACAAATTTGTAGCAGTTTAAGTACTAGTGTTAATGAAATTTATGTTTAAATTTATATCTGGACTATTTTAAGGGATAGCAAACTAAAGATTTTAATAAACACTTGAATGTAAGCTATGGAAATATTTTACTTACGGGCCTAGGATCTTCATAACAAACAATTCCTTTCAGAGTATTCAATCGGGCAGCAAACCGTTTGCGTTTCTTCTCATGTTTTCTATCGTCTTCCATGTTGTATCAACACTAATTACAAATATATTTAAAGCTTAGTCTAACTAAGGGAGCACTGTCACAAGTAAAAAATACAGAATCTGATACAGAAACAAATGTTCACGTTTGCTTACTTGAATTTGATAATAAGTGTATAATCTATGATTGTAATAATAAGATTGCTCACGAATTAGGTACCGTACGGTACCGTACCTATTATCACAAATAATAGGTTGGGGAAAAGTCTTTTCGCATTATAGTATGTATAAACTTGTAATAAAATCTCTTTGGCTATATTTGTGTCTGGCTGGTTTTGGTATAATTAAAAGTTTAAATTTTAAAGAAGATAATTCCAAATTCGAATTAGGAAAATGTGTGATTTTTATTTATTTTTCGCACTGTCAAGATGAGTGAATCTAATGAAGAAATTCGATACATTTTAAAATTTTACTACAAAAAAGGTAAAAATGCAACGCAATCCGCGAAAAATATTTGCGATGCTTATGGACCTAGTGCAGTGTCTGTGAGAGTAGTACAAATTTGGTTTAAGCGTTTTCAATCCGGAATTTTTACTAAGGGGTCAATTCTCTTCATGTCATCCCGTACCTTCGGTGTTGCTTTGTCTCACTTCATTCAATTTCATTTAATTTCCATTTTGAAACAATAGATTTTGGCTTTTTTATAATATTTTGTTGTATGGGCTAGATTCCCTTTGCATGTCCAAAGGACTACTGAAAAATGTGTGATATCGTAAAGTGTCTGATTAGGTTGCAAGGTTAAAATTGTATTTGTTAGGTCCAGAAAATTGATATTTCGTACACATAATAAATAGAATACTTTATTCTGTGAATAGTATTACAGTATGTTGGATTTGATGTGATATTATCTGAAGATCTACAAAATTTGAACTATTTGTACCAAAGAAAGGTACAAAACATTCCTTTAAATGGTAAAAAAATCTTATTAATCTACTGGGCTTGTACATGTGAATAGATAATTGCTCCTTTAATATCCTACTTTTTTCTACGACAAAACTTAAATAATTAATAATTATTTAACATTTCAGGATACTAGAAAAAAGAGGCATGTTGTTTGTATGGCTTCAGATTTCTTTTACCCGAATACCGGAGGTGTAGAAGAGCATATATTTAATTTGTCACAATGTCTCATTAAACGAGGCCACAAAGTCATAGTACTAACTCACTCTTATGGCGACAGAGTCGGCATCCGATATTTAACCGCAGGCTTAAAAGTTTACTATTTACCTATTAGAGTATTTTATGCCCAGTGCGTATTGCCAACAATGATATGTAATATAGCTTTAATAAGAAATATATTGATAAGAGAATGCATAGAAATAGTTCATGGTCATTCTGCTTTTAGTGTTTTGTGTCATGAAGTATGTATTATAGGCAAATTAATGGGATTAAAAACTGTATTCACTGACCACAGTTTATTTGGGTTTGCTGACACATCAGCTGTACTGACAAACAAGTATTTACAAATATGTCTCAGTGAGATTGATCATTGCATATGTGTATCTCACACTGGCAAAGAGAACACAGTGTTAAGGGCCAAGGTTCAAGCTCACAAAGTTTCGGTGATCCCAAATGCAGTTGATGCATTTTCTTTCATTCCTGATCCACGCCAAAGAGATCAAAAATTTATAACCATAGTCATAGTCTCAAGATTAGTGTACCGAAAAGGTGTTAATCTCATGGCTGCCGTTATAGCAGATATGTGCCCACGGTATCCAAACTTAAGATTCATCATAGGTGGAGACGGTCCTAAGATGTGGCTACTTCAAGAAGTCCGAGAAAAAATAGGTTGTCAAGAATCTGTTAGATTGTTAGGCAGCTTAAAACATTCAGAAGTTAGAAATGTTTTAGTGAAGGGTGACATTTTTTTAAATACATCACTGACAGAAGCATATTGTATGGCTATAGTAGAAGCTGCAGCTTGTGGACTAAAAGTTGTTTCTACTAAAGTAGGAGGAATACCTGAAGTACTACCAGAAAGTATGATCTATCTTACGGAGCCAAATGTAGGCAGCCTGGTCAGAGGAATTGAGAAAGCAATAACTGATATTAAAGAAGGAAACATAATGTGTCCATTTAAATGCAATAGACTGGTTCGAGAGATGTACAGTTGGATGGACATTACAAAAAGAACTGAGATAGTTTATAATAGAATATTACTAAACAAAAACAAACCATTAGGGCAACAGCTACGTAGCTACCTTAATTCTGGTGTTTGGCCCTTTCTATTAGTGATAAGTTTAATGTATATATTACTACAATTAACTGAGAGAATTTATAAAAGGAAGTATATTGACAAAGCAAGAGACTTAAGACTATAATATTTAATTTCTAAGGTATTGTTTAAAAAACACCATGATATCTTTTATGTGAATGTTTAAATTTGAGCAAAGAATAAATCTAGTAATATAATTTGCAATTTAACTTAAAATACTCTAATCACTGGACTATAGATGTCCACTGTAGGCTTCCCAAAGTTCACTGCAATGGCCAAGGCTGCACCCCCATAACCAACAGTTCATCATGTAACAGAATGTTATTCAATCTGGAAGTCAATTTGGCTTTGCTCCAATCCGCATCTATGCATCAACAATCGAATCATGCAAAAACATAACATAGGTACTGTTGGTAGAGCATCTTGTGAGTCTGCATGAGCCTGCAGAGCTTGCATAAGCCCACACATTAATACCAACAAGCAACATAACATGTTAAGACCACCCTGCCTATTTCTGCTGTAAAGCAGTAATGTGTTTTGGTTTGAAGGGTGGGGCAGTTATTTTACTGTAAAACGAAGACTTACAACGCATACCTCATGATGGATGGTGGCATTAACATTTTAGATGTTTATTTATGGGCTTCAGTGACCAGTTAACGCCAGGTGGGCCATAAACTCGTCCATAAAAACCGCAATAAAATATTTTATATACATGGATAAGGATACATGGAAAGGACAGTTTCTTTAGTTAAAATGACACTAAACTACTTCCTCAACATACACTAAAATTATATTGTTGTTTTTTTATTAAGCTAAACATATACTTGTCGTTTTAAGAATATTTGTATCATGTGAATCAGTCATTACTAACACAGCCATTGGATAATAGATTTGCACGTCTTACATTATGTGTAATCAAATACATTTTCAATTGTGATAATATTGTGTTGTGTTACTGATGTACCAATCTTCTTCATTTTCAGACCCAATGATTTTTATCATATTTATGATAAAACGAATAAAGACAAAACTTAGTTTTGGAATGATTTATTTTTAAACTGAATTAGCATAAAGCTAATAACTAATCCTTCAACTAGTTAGCCATTACATAGTAAATACAAAATAATTTCAATAAATAACAAGGCTCTAAACCACTATTGTGTTTTGCTTGAACATTATTAATATTGGCCTGTCTTATATTTATAAAAATAATTAATGTGATCTTCGAAAGCGGACTGATAATATAATAAGATATTATACAAACTGTGATGTTATTTCAAGCCCTGTGAACAAATAAATTTATATTAATTGTTATTAATAAAATAAATTATAATAAAGTTATTTTGAGGAAACTTTGTTTTTTTAATTTAATTTATTCTGTCTGAAAGAATAAAACTCTGCAGTTTAAGAACATTAAACAAAAAGGAATCCTTAGTATTGGATTCACAAACACATGTATATACATATCACAAAGTGAATATCATCCATAATGTGGCATGAGATCACTAATACTCTAAGAATTCTTCTACTACATTTAGCATGTTTTTTAGCATTATGGGATTATGGTAGTCCTTTATTTGTAGTAGTTTTATGGTTGACCTACCTACGACACAGCTAGAAAACGAAGAACATAAATGCATTTCTTACACTTTAGTAGCACGTGATGGGTAGTTTGGGCGAGATCCAGCTTGCTTGAGCTGAAGCACAATTGACCGTAAGCGTGCCACATCCCTTCCTCGACGGGGTCCAAAGTCACAAAGTTCAGAAACCCGGGCCCATTCATTTCCTTCCTCCACACTACTTTCAGATCCTCGAGCTTGTGCTCGCTCTGCATTCCTATCATTTAAGCAAAGCACATGTTTTTCTATAAAAGAATGTATCAATACTATGTTCATACAATTGAAAAAACCAGTCAACAACCTTTTATTTATGTGTAACACTATTTATTCATAAAAAGTCATTCAAATATTTTTATGAAAGAAGGATAATAAAAATATTTCAATAGATAGTTTAATTAAAAAACAGCATAAAATTATAGTGCACTGAGTTATATGGTGCATCAGTTTTTTCAGTAATGGTGATATCAGTGTGACAGTGAAACTTGATTCACAGAACTTGTTACACATTTTATGGATACAGTTAATTCTAAATGTATTTTCATGTTCCAATATTAATTACAAATTCAACCATGACCATGACAAATGTTATCAATTTCTTAATCAGTTATTTATACTCACTTAGCAGATTCCCTGGGGCATTGAAAAAAAAAATCATATGTTTTACCATCTTACTTAAATTGAAGAAAGTTAAAATAAGATTTATTGATATATTACTAAAATTTACAATCACAGTCAATAAAACTGTAAAGCTGAAGCTGGTTGCATCGAGGGGCATGGAAGGGGTGAACAGAATTGAATATTGAACAAAAAAGGCCAAATTTCATAGAAATGTCTCCCTCCAGCACTCAATTGTCTCAAGTTTAGACAGCAAACGTTATGCCAAGTTTTAGTAATGATATCAATTCAATTAAAAAAAAAAATTAAAACTTTTTTGTAATAATAAGTTGAAATGCATCCAAAAAGCACTAGTCAAAATAACAGACATTTGAGCGTGCAACCCACTCAACCACAATAGCTTAACAGTATTCAGGGTGGTGGAAATGCTCGGAGTAGAGTTCTGTATTAAACTAATCCAGTTGATTCTGAAACTCTACGATTTATGCATATAGCTGATCAAAACTTTATTTTGGAACTTTAGTGGAATTGGAATAATTGGATTTTACCTGTTGGCAGCTTTAGTTTTGGAAATCTGTTCTTCATGTGATTTGTACCAGTCCTCCAGTTCTTTCTTGGCTATCTGAAGCATTTCTTGCTTCTTTTGTTCTTCCTCTGCATCTGTGAAATTAGCACCTCCTTTTGTTAACTTCATATTAAATAAAATAATTAAGATAGTGACTAAATAGCTAGATCTTGTTTCTCAATTTTTTAAATTGTATTCTTCTCTACTATTCAATTAATTAGTATCATTAGATTCTTAAAGTATTTTTTACCAATCACATGTTTGTAAGATTTATCTACATAAAAATATATATAAATATATATATATATATATATATATATATTTTTCCATATATCCATTCGCACCTTTAGAATTGAAGGTGGCTTAATTAAAAATAAATAAATAAAATGATTTATACTTTAAACGACTTATAGACATGTATTCCATCAGTTTATACAATTAACTTCTTTTTAAGTCTAGAAAAGGACAAAGAACTCTTTCCATCTCTGTCAAATAAAGCACATACCTTAGATTAAAATAAAAAATGTAATGAATATGTATTACAATTTTCTAATAACATTTTTGGAGTTTAACAAAAATAACTTTTTGGCTTATGGCGCTTCAATTCTAAAGGTGTGAAATCTTATTCAATAGTATTTACATAATTAGAAAATAAAAACTGACATTTCTTGACCTTAATTTTTATACAAAATATGGCAATCCCCCCTTTAGTTGGCAGGCATCCAAACTTCTTATACCTTCTACGATGGTAAAGAAAGCCTATATCAGAAAAACCATGTCACTCTACTTTAAAATAATTGTAACAAATGAACACCTTTCTCTTCTAATCTTTTCTTTTGTTCTTCTCGCCATATTTTGATCTTCTCAGGTTCCTCACGTTCTTGTTTGAATACTGTTGTTGGAGTGGATCCCAATGGAGCGTCATCCAACAGACCGTTAGCATCAAATGCTGATGCACTGGGTACTTCTATAGAGGTATAGCATGAAATTAGGATTTATAAGACTGACAACTTCACTACCTTCAGATATTTCCACAAAACGAAAAATAATTTAAGTACTAACTATCGGATAATGACTCATTCAAGCACAATTATTGATTAGCTTCATTCAAGAGTGAATGTTTTTTTCCAGATGAAATTATTTATGTTGCAGCGCATCATAAATTTATATTTCGATCTCTAGTTTTATAATACCTAATATTCTTACCGACAAAATCGTCAAACCCGTTTGTAGACGTCGAAATGGCAGGGGGCGGAGCACTGGTTTCTAGCTCGTCTTCGAGACCCGCTAGCTGATTCTGCTCACGGGCAAGGAAATCTGCTGCTGGATCAACCTCAGGTTCAACGAAACTGTCTCCAAAATCATCCATTTTCAAATAAGCTTTTGGAACAAATCAATCAATAGAATGAGAGTAGATTTTAAACACTTTTTGACGAAGATGAAGAGAGAAATAACAAATTAGTGTGCAATCTATGGTGAAAATGAATTGACACGGTGACAGTTCAATTTTTCAAAAGTTGTTTAGCTAAATTTAATTTTACGCCATTGTGATAAAATTTATATTTCAAGATCAACAAAGATTTTTTTACTTCAGGCAACTAAAACAAAATGTCAAACAAAATACATTTTGTTTAACGCCAATACGACTGACAAAGGGAATACGCCTACAAAAATTGAATGATGTGTTAAAAAAAATTAAAATCATGTCAGTTGGGTGAAAAACCAAATGAAAAGAAATTAATAACTTTTCAACAAAATATTAAGAAATAATTTTCTTTTTTTTTTGGTTCCATTTCATACATCGAACTCGTTGAATAGTAACCTATAAACAAAACCTGCCGAGTTTCTTGTCGGATCTTTTCAATGGTAGCGAAGTGCTACTGTTGCTAGGGCAGATGTCGCAACTTTTTTCAGGCTTGGCTACGTGAGCTGTGTAACTATACTGAGACCTTAGAACTTATATCTCGAGGTGGGTGGCGCATTTACGTTGTAAATGTCTATGGGCTCCAGTAACCGCTTAACACCAGGTAGGCTGTGAGCTCGTCCACCCATCTAAGCAATAAAAAAAAGAGCTCGCTCATCATCTAATGTGAAGCAAATTAGCCCCTCAAGGATAGTGGCAGATAAGTAGGAAATAAGAAAATTTCATTTCACCTTTGTAAGTAAGCATTAGTTCTTAATAGTAAGAATTTAGGCTGTACACTTTATGTTTCCTTGAATTTCAATTGGTTGAAAACATGTTGAAAAGGTAAATGTTTCATAAGTCCGTAAGCTATTATATAAATGCAGCAAAAGTCCTAACCATCACGTCACAGTCGGAGTCCCGCAAGACTCCGCCCTCCCCCCGTTACTGTTTAGTTTATATATCAATGATATACCCCGGTCTCCGGAGACCCATCTGGCGCTCTTCGTCCATGACACCGGCATCTACTACTCGTGTAGGAAGAAAGAATTGCTTCATCGGCGACTTCAGACCGCAGCTACCACCATGGGACAGTGGTTCCGGAAGTGGTGCATCGACATCAACCCCACGAAAAGCACAGCGGTGCTCTTCAAAAGGGGTCGCCCTCCGAACACCACGCTGAGCATCCCCCTCCCGACTAGGCGCGTCGACACCTCCGCCTCCGCTATTCGCCCAATCACGATGTACAACCAGCCCATACCGTGGGCCCCGAAGGTCAAATATTTAGGCGTCACCCTCGACAGAAGGATGACATTCCACCCCATATAAAGACGGTACGCGACCGTGCCGCTTTCATTCTAGGACGTCTCTACCCGATGATATGCAGGCGAAGTAAAATGTCCCTTAGAAATAAGGTGACACTCTACAAAACTTGCATACGCCCCGTCATGGCCTATGCAAGTGTAGTGTTCGCTCACGCGGCCCGCACTCACCTAAAATCACTTCAAATTATCCAATCCCGTTTTTGCAGGATAGCCGTCGGAGCCCCGTGGTTCGTCAGGAACGTCGACCACCATGACGACCTGGACTTAGAGTCCACCAGTAAGTATATGCAGTCGGCCTCGATGCGCCACTTCGATAAAGCGGCACGACACGAGAACCCTCTCTTCGTGGCCGCCGGTAACTACATTCCCGATCCTGCGGAAAGAATGGAAAGCAGTCGACGTCGCCCAAAACACGTTATCTCGGATCCTCCCGATCCGAGATGACGGTGCTTCTAGGTACTTCAAGCACCGGTCACCGTTCTCGTCGAACCCGTCGCTTGCGACGAAGGGCTCGACGAGTAAATTAACTCTTAAACACAGCCCACTGAGTTTCTCGCCGGATCTTCTCAGTGGGTCGCGTTTCCGATCCGGTGGTAGATTCTGCGAAGCACGGCTCTTGCTAGGGTTCGTGTTAGCAACGTCATCAGGTTTGAGCCCCGTGAGCTCACCTACTAGTTACGGTTACGCTGGAATAGCCTCTCAAGGCTAGCAGCTTAGGTAGGAAAAAAAAAGAAAAAAAAAACCTAACCATAGATTATACACTTTAATATTTGAGTTTGAGTTCTAACCATAGATTATACACTTAGGTTCTAACATTCTAACTCGAACAAAACCAAAAAACACTACAACTTCAACAAGAATTACTAAATTTAGCTAAAAAATGAATTTGTGTGTTAGATTGAAATGCTTCCGTTATAACATTTTCGGCCATTTGTACAGATATTCTACAACATCGGAAGCAATTGAACAAAATGAACAAGTAATTATTGACGACAGCGATGTAGCACAGGCGAAGGAAGAAGAAATTAATAAAAAGAGAAATATATCTCGTCTTAGTATGTCACATCATAACCTCGTTAACGGGAAACGACCCTACGACTATCCAATGAGTTTAGCTCATTTGACCGTGAAATACAACAGGAAAATGTATGGAAAATATGGAAGCGCTAGTGGAGTGAACCCTAGTAAGTACTTTACTATAACATATTCTTGTTCAATAAATGTTTACGATATATAATGCCTCAAGTCCTATTGCGGTTTAAAAAAATAAGCAGGCTTGGAAAAATTTTTTTTTTGTCGTTTGGTTGGACACTTAAAATTTTAAGATTTTTAAGATTTATTAGTGGTGATGAGCAGACCTTGTGTTCAAGCAATAGATACTATTATGTGAAAATTACTGCCTTAAGACATGAGATCAGAACTTCTAAATTGTAATACATAAATGCTTTATGGCAGAAATAGGCTGGATGATGCTAACGGTCCCTGTGGACTTAACTATCTTCTTATGACAGTCAAAACAATGTTTTTTTTATAAGGCTTATGCTGGCCAACTAGAGCAGACATCAGAGAGAAATTGGAATATGAATCCGAAGCATACCCTTTCACAATACAAGAGATGATGGAGACAACGAGGCAGAAACGTCTAGCTGAAGAGGAAAAGATACTGAAGAGAGATCAGGAAATTGTAGCCAAAATGGCAAAATTAGAGATGTGGAAAAAGGAACTTCGAAACAAAGTCGCCAAGAAAACTGCTGAAGCACAGGCTGCTAAGGTATATAATTATGAATATATCATTATTTTCACATTAGAGATTATTGAGTGATTGTAGTGTGAAATATTAAAACCATCTTAAACCAGTACCCAGCTTAAAACTGTCAATTTGGTGGTCACAATATTAGTTTTCTGATTTTACCAGGAACAACAATTATAATGTGGTGCCTACAATGCTTAGAATATATGCTCTCACAAATAATTTGTTCTTTTGCCCAATAGGACAAGAAGGAACGCCTTGTTGAGGAGGTGCGAAGACATTTTGGTTTCAAACTGGATTCTCGTGATGAAAGGTTCCAGGAGATGTTGGTCAAACGCGAGAAAGAACAAAAGAAACAGGAAAAACTAGCTAGAAAAGAAGCTAAGGAGAAGGTTATGATTGCCAAACTACAACAGAAGAATGCTGAAATCAGTGAAAACAAATAAAAATAATTTTAATATGATTAATATCAAAAAAACTAGTATGCCTAGTAAACATTTATAAGTTAAAATTTGATAATACTTCTTTATTTTTGAGCAAAGGATCAACCAACCTAACTTTACAAAAAAAAACAATAATGCAAAAAGATGATGAATTCATATTACTACTCTACTGTTAGTAGTAAAGTTTGCCTAAGGCAAACCATGGCACTACCTATTTCTGCAAAGCATGAATGCACTGTGATTTAAAAGTAATGATATTTTCATCTCACATATCATAAATGATTGACAATCCCATTCTCATGGATTGCTTGAAGCCTCAGGTCTATATAAGGACTTTGGTTTGCTCCCTTTGTGTTTCGAATCTGATGTTCCATGGGGAGTGTGGGAGGTACGGTTTGAGATGATCTCACCATAGAAGCCGCGTTCATCCATTCTACCTAGAACAACTGTGTTCATCTACGCCAGTGTAGGTAGGAAATGGATATGATATGAATAAAGCAGTTTTAAACAGAGTATGTTGAATTAATTTTTTTTTATTTATTGCTTAAACGGTTGGACGAGCTCACAGCCCACCTTGTGCTAAGTGGTTACTGGAGCCCATAGACATTTACAACGTAAATTCGCCACCCACCTTGAGATATAAGTTCTAAGATCTCAGTATAGTTTATATAGGATCTCAGTATATTTTTCGTGACTTGTGTAGTTAAAAAATATGTAGTAGGTATTTAAAATCTGAACTTTTTTTATTACTCTAATTCCTTAAAGCGCAGTATTTAAAATCCTTCCACTTGCTATTGCATAGCATTTTTTATCAACTTATTCAATAATAATTTAATATTAAAACAATAATAAAATAAGACCACGCTATATTTATAAACATTAACACAAGCAAAACATTAATTGTCCCCTTCACACTCATAAGCTAGACCGCGCGAAAGAGAGATGGGCAGACTTTTCATGATGCGCATGCAGTGCGACGTCACGGCGCGCGCGTATTCACAAACACAAGCGCAACGTGTGAATGTGTTGAACGCGAGGTACAGGGTAGGCGGAGTCATAGATTATACACTTGGCGGAGTGGAGTGTTAGGTTTTATTTTCGTTACGGAATTTATTGATTCGATGGTCGCGCTCAAAGCCCGCGATAAAAGCTATGCATGCTATGCTTAATGCTATGCTTAATGATAATGAAGACCGGACTGCTGGAAATCTTTAGTTACTAAATACATAACCTAAAATGAAAATCTAGACATTACCTATATGTAAATACATGTAAAGGAAATTTGTAAAAGTAAGGTATAGTAACCGGCAAACATCTTGAGCAAATGACCTTGACTGCGCAGAACCGAATTTTAGATCACTTTGGTGGTGAGGGTGAGGCGCGACGGCAGGGGAAATCGTATCGAGCGCGTTATTGGTAGATCAGTCGAACCTTGCGCCCCGCACCGCGCCCTCGTTCCGCTTGCTCCCCAAAGTACGCTTGCGTACAGTGAAAAGTCTATCGTTAAGTTATTTGTTATAATTGCTTGTTGACTTTGTTGCCATTGCTATTTGTTGAGTGTTTGTTGATTTTTTATAAAAAATACACTATGCCGCGACAAACTGGTGTAGTAATCAAAAGAAAGGGTAGAAAAATTGTGTACGACGTATATTGCTTCATTATAAAACAGGACAAGAATGATATGGAAAAAGTAAAACAGACTTCGGAAGCAACAAAAACATCAGTGAGTACTGTTAGGTGCATTATTAACGAAGCTAAAGGCTCTGGCTTGCTCGCCGTGTTTGGGACTCCGGGTAAGAAAAGATCAGGGAAGAAGAAAGTTACCGGAATGGATAGTTTCGTTCAATCTTTAATAAAAAGATGTAATCATAATAACTACATAACAAGCAGCGAAACTCCGTACCGTAGAAAGGCTTCGAAAAATTTAAAGAAGATATACATTTTAATGGCTCGGAATGAAGCTTACGACGAATTATGAAAGAGCTAGGCTTCAGATGAAACAAAAAAACAGAAAATAATCGGAAGCTGGTAATTGAAAAAAGTAACATTCGATTACTACGAATCGAATATCTTCAAAAAATAATTAATTATAGACTAAAAAGAAGATCGAACGACCGAGTTGTAAACTACACCGATGAGCCCTATGTCGACTCATCACGATGATGGCGACTCGGGTGATGAAAACAGTGATGACGATGATGGTCGAGATTATTATAACGAAAAAAAAATTACAAATACCAGCTTCGCTTCAACTGAACCAAGACCTGGCAACAGCTCTAGTTTTGACTCAATAGAAGGAATATCTATTTTACCCCAAGATTAAATTATTACAATTATTAACCTATATTTTTTGTTGATGTTCTCATAAATATATAAATAAATACATATGTTGATTTTAATAATTTAATTGCATTATGACGCAGAGTAAATAATGTTTTTGCACGTGAGTGTACCATGCGCAAACTTACCTCCACTACGTCAACAAATGCTCAAGAAGTTTGCCGGCTATTATAAGTTTCGTGAATTTGAAATGAGTCGCATTTAGTGTATGTTTACAAGTCTGTTACCTAAAATTACTAAAGTCATTTTTCCTAAATAAACCGTCATCTTTTCAATTGTTACATATTAATTGTTACTTTTCTATCTTCTATCCCTATATATAAAAATGAATTGCTGTTCGTTAGTCTCGCTAAAACTCGAGAACGGCTGAACCGATTTGCCTAATTTTGGTCTTGAATTATTTGTGGAAGTCCAGAGAAGGTTTAAAAGGTAGATAAATATGAAAATGCTCGGAATTAAATAAAAATAACAATTTTGTTTTTCCTTTGATGTGTCTCCGGTCGGACGGATTTCTTTTGTTTGTTTTAAGTTTATTTTATACAAAAGCTCAGGTCTTTTATTTATTGATTGAAGTACTACGAAGTCTGCCGGGTCAGCTAGTTTTAAATAATAAAGTGATTGCAGAAATAAACTCCTCTACCAAACAAACTTTATTCATACAAATAAACAAAAGGAATACAAAAACTCATGAAGACTCATCATCGTCGCTCGAGTAGAAGGCCTCTCGCGGGTTGATGGCGAGAGTGCGCTGCGTCAGCTGAGGGGAGCAAACCAATGTGTCTGACGAATCGCTGACCATGCTGCTGCTAGGACTCGATCTGTCCTGGGAACTTGACTGAAAATAATAATAAATAAATAAATATTTTCTAACAATCACGCCACGTTAACTGGTCCTGTGCTAAGTTCGTAAAGAACTTGTGTTACAGGTACCAGATAATGGAAATAAATGTAAGATTTTTATTATACACATACATATATTTAATATACATCCATAACCCTGGAAAATACACTTTTTATTCATCATACAGATATCTTCTCTTGGCGGGATTCAAACCCGCGACCCCCTTGTGTAGCGACCATGTCACTTACCACTACACCAGACGGCCATTTAACCATTTAAACGTTTAAAAAACCATTTTATTTTTTTAATAAACAAAACTTACTGATGTACGGTCCCTTATCATCATCATCATCATCATCATCAGCCTTTATCTGCCCACTGCTGGACATAGGCCTTCCCCAATGCCTTCCACATAATGCAGTAATAAAGTAATAAATAATACAGTCCCTTGCTTTAAGATAATTATTATAATGGGCTTTGGCGGTTATATTGGTAGTGGTGACTAATGGTTCAGGGCGTTATCGGAAGTGAGATAATTATAATAATTATATAACACAACAGTGTGCTTAGTGCGAGTTTCTTAACGTCTTCGATAGCGTAAAAGGTAACTAGAATTTGTATGCAGTTGGAACAGCGCCCCTAGCGGCAAACGTACGCAAACGTTCTAACTGCATAAAAATTTGAATTAACGTTTACGTTATCGAGAACGTTAAAAAACTCGCACTAAGCACACTGGTTACTCCTAGCGTTTATTCGCGACAGAAACTTAAAAGTGACGGAGCTTTTTTTTATTGCTTAGATGGGTGGACGCGCTCACAGCTCACCTGGTGTTAAGTGGTTACTGAAGCCCATAGACATCTGCAACGGCTGCCCCACTCTTCCAACCGAAACGCATTACTGCTTCACGGGGGAAATGGGCAGGTTGGTGGTACCTACCCGTGCGGACTCACAAGAGGTCCTACCACCAGTAATTACGCAAATTAGAATTTTTGCAGGTTTGATTTTTATTACACGATGTTATTCCTTCACCGTGGAGGTCAATCGTAAACATTTGTTGAGTACGTATTTCATTAGAAAAATTGGTAAGAGTACAGTTGTGAAGTTATGAGGGCCAGGGTTGCGTAACTTGTACTTTTTTATTACTGCATTATTAAAATTGTATGTGGGATAAAGCAAAGTATATATGTATTGTCTCGAACGCATAACTTATGCACGAGACGCACGCCTGATACCGCTGTGTCACAAGCTTAATATGAAAAGCCTCAGTCAAATATACATCCAAAAAAGAATTTTACAATACCTTCTTTGTCTTCGTTCTCATGTCGTCATAGCAACGTTCTTCGTTCAAAGTTCTAGTGTCGCCCATTTGCTTTTCGATCATTTCTGGTTTCTGTAAAATCGCTTAACTTAGGTACGATTATTCGAAGACAGATTGTTTTGTTTCTAAAATACCCTGGATTTAGTAAAGCTTGGTAATCAGGAATAGGTAATTGGGTAAATAGAGGTAAAGCGTCTTTATGTAAGTAATAATACATTACATACGGCCACCGTTGATATCAGCAAGACCCTAGAGGTCTATAAGCACGTATTATTTAGAAAGTGGGATAAAACAAATCTAGGTCGAAACTGATATACATAATTAAGTATTATTTCCGTATGCTGTGATCACTCAAGTTAACCCATGCGTCCAAATTCAGATCTGACGAAAATGCCCTGTTTTCTAAATTGTAACCTAGTAACTGGCTGTTCACATCTAATTAAATTTTAATATTATTATGCCCGCTATTAGTGTAGCAAGATTATTTGTAATGATACTTGTCATAGAGCTATAGATCCATTTAGATATCAAATTTGAAATTAAACCGACCATTTCAACGTCCCTAGATCTCTGAGATCCTGGTACATCGCCCAACAAATGCGCAGACTTGGTCATTTTCTTTGTCATCTTGGCATTCGTGAGCATTTTGACGTGCGTGCTTTGTGCTTTCTTCGCTACAATATTGGCGCGAAGTTCATTGTATCCGTGCATTTCAGCTTCGGTGGCCTCATTGACAATTGTTTCTTCGACATTTTTATCATTTGCCGTGTCAACGAGGCATTGTCTGAAATTATATATTATATATTAAGGCCTTATCTTAGAAATTATATCTGCCAGGGGCAGAGCCAAGCCGCTACCTACCGTTGTTTGTCTCCATCTGCAAAACCTTTACCAACAATCGAATTATCATTGGTTTTTACCTACGAACCTACCTACTACGATTCAGCACATAAGCAATGTCCCAAACGAAAACTTATTCCTAAAAAGTCATGGTCAGTCATGTTAGTTTAGTGCTGGTATATTTGATCACAGCTTCTTACCAAATAACAATGGCAAAAAAATGACTAACTTTCTATAAGCTAACGGCAATTTCGTAGACCTAATATTTATATTTTAGTATACCTATTAATTATTATTCACTTTTTAATTTAAATTTAATAAGTTTTTTTGTTTTATTTATAGGTAATAATTAATTTTATTTTACAAACTTTCTATATGTTTTCCAACCACGATGTTAAAGTAAAACTACGATTAAAATAATCTATGTCACACTCATAACCGAGAGGCATATAATGACATCTTTGTTTCAATACGTCAAAAGTTTAGGAGGGAGAGCGCGCCAAAAAATTGACGTACACATAAGTACCTATGCTTAAAAAATATTAACTTCCTGCGACTGTCGGGTAAAAAGGACGGGCACATAAGATTTCCGTTGAGTCCTTTTGCTAAGAAGTATGAAGTTTCTGAATAAACTACTAATGAACCTGTTAGTATTGACGGAATACCCACCCGTGACACTGATTATTCTTGATAAATTCATATATATCCTTAAAGGCCTGCTGAATGTAGGACAGCGTGTTCTGGTCGATCGGAATCGAGCTCGAAGAACCAGAACTGCTTGAATAGTCACCCGAACGCGAACTCGCTTGGAATGACTGTTCTGAACCTAGACAACCCAGATGGTAATTAGTTTCTAAATGTTTAGTTTTTTTTCCTACCTAAGTTGATGGTCTAGAGAGACCATATCAGCGTAATCTTAACTAGTAGGTGAGCTCAGGGGGCTCAAACCTGACGATGTTGCTAACACGAACTCTAGCAAGAGCCGTGCTTCGCAAAGAGAGAAGATCCGGCAAGAAACTCAGTGTGCTGTGTCTGTTTGTTAATTTACTCGCCGAACCTTCGTCGCGAGCGACGGGTTCGACGAGAACGATAACCGGTACTTGAGGTACCTAAAAGCACCATTAGTGGATCGGGAGGATTAGAAATGATGTGTTTTGGGCAACGTCGACTGTTTACCATTCGGTCCGCAGGTATGTCGTTTCTGGCGGCCACGATGAGAGGATTCTTATATCGTGCTGCTTTATCGAAGTGGAAGTGTTACATGTTCCGTATGTTGGAAAATAACGTGCCCTTTTTTACAGATTATTATTAGACATCATAAATGAAGGGGGAACGAGCCAAAGATAGGGCACCAACAAGATGGTAGGACACCTTAAGGAGGACAGCTGGGAGCAGCATCCAACAGATGATCCACCTCGCAGCAGACCAATTTTCATGGAGATACTTACATATGTAACATACGTGTGGTCGCGATCTTCAGTAAAGAAGGAACGACGATAAAGTATTACTTAATTACCTGACGACATGGCCCCATTCGCCCACAACTTGATCTGCTGCTGTTTCAACTGCTTCATTTGATCTACTAGTTGTAGATTCAACTCCTCGAGTTGCTGCCGATGCGATATCTCTTCTTGAAGCTGTTCTTCGAGTACTTCTGTGTAATCTCTGCAAAGATCCATATTTCCTAATGTAGACAATGTGTTTTTTTTTAACTTTTTATTGCTTAGATGGGTGGACGAGCTCACAGCCCACCTCGTGCTAAGTGTGGTTACTGGAGCTCATAGACATCTATAACGTAAATTCGCCAGCCACCTTGAGATATAAGTTCTAAAATCTTAGTATAGTTACAACGGCTGCCCTACCCTTCAGACCGATACATATTACTGCTTCACGGCAGAAATAGGTAAGGCGGTGGTACCTATTCGCGCGGACTCACAAGAGCTCCTACCACCAGTAAATGAGTTCGCATTCCTCACACTGAATACAACGGTGCTTTTTTGTCTCCCTACCTATTCGCTGTAGCTTAAGGGTCTCGCCCGGATGGCCAGGTGAACTCACGAACTTAACTCATGAGAATTTTCTAACACGCGAGCGAAGCAGTACGCCGCAGAATCTACCACCGGATCGAAATCGCGACCATAGATAATAATACACTTAATATTGAAATCGCGACTCACCGAGAAGATCCGGCGAGAAACTCAGTTGGCAAAGTCTATGGGTTACTTCTAGTAATATAGTTCGGATGGTGACGAATTATTTAATTTTTTATTGCGCACATGAATTGCTTTAAATATTCTTGGCTATCTATTTAAGCTATTTAGCGGGTTCTTACTAAGATTCTTATTTTTAGTTAATTTCCAATATTGAATAGGTAAAAAAGGCATCGAAATATGAAGTGTACCAATCTTATTGTTTAAAAGTACTTTGTTAAAGACATTAGTCACATAATGTTTACTAACTTTTCTTTTTTGACGACGCTACTCTTTGCTACGTATTTCGATGGCGCGTTTTTCGTTATCGTTCCTCTGTCTTTGACAGCTCCATTTCTAAAACAAAAAAATGATTTTCAAGCTTTAAAAAATTAAAACAACGACAAATTAAGACTTATTACTACTATCTCCATATAGACTCCATATATAATTCCATATAGAACTTTTTTTTTATTGCTTAGATGGGTGGACGAGCTCACAGCCCACCTGGTGTTAAGTGCTTACTGGAGCCCACAGACATCTACAACGCAAATGCGCCACCCACTTTGAGATATAAGTTCTAAGGTTTCAAGTATAGTTACAACGGCTACCTCACCCTTCAAACCGAAACGCATTACTGCTTCACAGTAAGAGCAGAAATAGGCAGGGTGGTGGTACCTACCCATGCGGACTCGCAAGAGATCCTACCACCAGTAAACTCCATATAGAATTGTGAAGCTAAAACAAAATTACGTTTCTATCGAAAAATATGTCCATGATACATACGCTAGAGATTAATGATTAGTAACGTCAGTACTATGTAGTGAAATTCAAGACTTAAAGCCTAATATTTTAATAAGACTAAGTTGGTTTGTGATATCACAGAGTATTTCGTGTTGAATATTGACAAAACGTATTTAACATATTTGAATCTGCAGCCTGAGAAGCCATGCAATAATTAAACCAATTGAAATCACTTACTTGACGACAGTTTTAATTCTTCCATCACTTGAGCAACCGCTAACATTTCCAAGCCATGAATACTGAAAGATCAACGTAGTCAAATGTTATTGAAATCCAGACACAACGTGAATTCGAAATACGTAGGCTAAGGCCAATTTTCTTGATTTCCTACCGGTCAAACAGCACGAATGATTAGCGCCAGAAAAGGGACAGGATACAGTATATACTCGTTCAAGAGGAATGGGGGCATCTAAATAGGCATTAAAGGGGGAGATAGAAAATTTTCATAAAAATACTCTTAAATCTTCCGTCATCAAAAAACCTGAATATTCAAAGCGGCCCGCCTGATGGTGAGTGGTTACCGTCACCCATGAATGTCAGCAATGCCATCGACATAGGCAAGTAGCTGCCTACCATTAAATACTCTCCACAAGCCTCATTTGAAGAGGCACATGTCATAGCGCTCGGGAAACACCGTAGAGGAGAGCTTATTTCAAAATTGGATGGTACGTGACAAAATGATATCTGGATACGCACTGTGGATGAACGCAGTAGCTCTACGTAGTATGGATGAACTCTACAATATCAATAAATACGCAATAAATAGTTTTGATTATGCCTACGACTCGCGAAAACCGAAGAAAATACTGAAAATACTCTTGTTAATGAAATGATATGAAATGCGTTTATTTAAGGCAACTTAAGCCCATAAAATTTCACATATAAATTACATAACATTTAAATCAAAATACAATAAATTAAAAATACAATTTATCAGAATGATTGAAATTATTCAACAAGATTATTCACCTGTCCTGCCGTTCCCCTTTCGTTAGCTCTGAGCGCAGATCTAACCTTGGATAGCGACTCGATAGAGATCTCAGAATTATGCCTCAAGTCCAAGACGACGAGGGTAGTATTCGACCGCATCATGTTCAATGTAGCCGTTGCCGTTGCTTCTGTCAGACCGCAGTTTTGAACGTCTAGTGCTGTAGAAGGAATCATTGTCGTTGAAAATTGCCGTGTCAATACTTAGTATCTGATTGTTATAAAAACATTATTTTTTTATTTATTGCTTAAATGGGTGGACGAGCTCACAGCCCACCTGGTGTTAAATGATTACTGGAGCCCATAGACATCTACAACGTAAATGCGCCACCCACCTTGAGATATAAGTTCTAAGGTCTCAAGTATAGTTACAGCGGCTGCCCCGCCCTTCAACAGTAAAACATTAAACGAAGAACTGGTATCGCAATATGCATTTACCAATGCCCTAATCAACTACTAATAGTTGTTGTATGGAAGAATTTGGAATAGATTCAATCGAGTAGCTTAACGACTGCCCCACCTTTCAAATCCAACCCCTATCTTGTGTTTGAGACACTGGGCGGACGAAGCATCCGACACCGACTGTTACGGATATTTTGTGTCAGAAACTCACGAAACGTTCTCGGCAGAAGTAGGCAGAATTATGGAACTTACCCGTGCTTACGACTACCATAAATAATACTGCAAGTATATTTGATAAGCACCATAATATAATAATGTAATTGACTTACCACAAAATACGTGGTCATTAATCTGTATATACAATATTATAGAAACAGAAATCCATACTAATACTATAAATGCGAAAGTAAATGTATTTGTTAGGTCACGATTTCATCTAAGCTACTCAGCTGATTTATTTGATATTTTATAAATATGTTGTCAGAGGTACAGAAAAAAATATAAGGTATTATTGATGCAGAAATAAAAAATACTTTTCTGAGAAATGGAATTTCTATATTAAGGCGAGTAAAGCTGCAGGTTATAGCTAATTCTTAATAAAAATAAACATTTTTGGCATAACTGCTGGCTGTAACTGTACTCTGAAAAATCTAGATACCTTTAATCCACAAATCATCAGCCAAGACCTCCAATAGTTTGGTGAGTCCAGCGTCACCCAACTGAGTGTTCCCACAAAGGGTGATACGTCTCAGGCCAGCCATTGTATCGAGATCAGGGAGACGATAACGTAATGTATGGATCCAATTCTCGCTGTATCGATGGATCTTTTGGTACTGAATTAAAAAAAAGGCAAATGTCAAATGATCTTTAAATTAGTAGTCAATAAGGTGGATGCCTCGCACTGGGCGTCCATGATACCATATACGAAGAATAGGGGACAGCTGATGGAGACGAGAGTGCCAGTATCGGGTCGCGTGGCGTGCTTTTTTCTCACAAAAATACAATACCTAAGTTCAACAGTGAACTAAAATATTCTGTTAATGATGACGATGATGAATAATTTTGGATGAATATCGTTCTCCTGTCCATTTCTATAGTAATATATAACGGGATTTAAACCTTAAGTTTAAATATTGTTGGAATATGCCATGGTATCCAGTCGATTATTCACGTATGCCGATCTAATCCAAGATCAGCTCACATAATTAATAAAAGTTATTTACTCCATTTTGATCTTGGTTATGTGTATTTAGTCGTCTATAAATGAATTCAATTGAATTTATAATTTTAATTACTGAATTGGTCTTCCTTGTTTTCTGGAACTGGACCGATAGTAACATATCTACATACCGCGCTGGTGGCAGAGCACGCTGTGCTTGGTGTCACTGCGCGCCATCCTGCGTATTTATGCTAAGAAGCAAATACCGTTTAGAAGGTAACCAAATATAACCGCAATGCAGCTGAGACTGATATTTCAAATTTAAACGCGTCCGGCGGTATTGACCTTCTATTATATCCATAGTGCTCTATCAGATTAGCATTGCGTTTTCTGGTAAAAAACCTTAGAGATAAGAAACACAAAAGGGGAAAATCACCTTAACTAATTCAGCTATATAACTAGCTCCAAGCATAGTCAGTTCGCAACCTGACAGGTCTAAAGTCAGGACGTTCGGCAGACATCGGACCGCTTTGCAGATTGCCAAACATCCCGCGTCTCCGAGCAAGCATCGTTGGAAGTACAAGTGTTGGAGGGAACTGTTTAAAAGGACCGCCTGAAAAATTCATGAGCGCGTGTGAACGGGCTTATACTCCCAACCTGCCTTAGGGAGCACCCGCTCCCTAGCTAAGCCACTCATCTACAGCCTTATCTCCATGCTGACCTGGAGTTTGACTCAGTCAGTAAGTATCTACAGTCGCCATCTTTGCGCCACTTTGAGAAGGCAGCTAGACATGAGAACCCTCTTGTCGTAGCCGCTGGATGCTACATACCCGATCCTGTAGACCGAATGGTAAATAGTCGACGTCGCCCAAAACACGTCATTACGGATCCTCCCGATCTATTAACGGTGCTTTTAGGTACCACAAGAACCGGTCACCGTCCTCGTCGAACCCGTCGCTTGCAACGAAGGGCTCGACGAGCGAATTAACCCACAGACACAACCCACTGAGTTTCTCGCCGGATCTTCTCAGTGGGTCGCGTTTTCGATCCGGTGGTAGATTATGCGAAGCACTGCTCTTGCTAGGGCCAGTATTAGCACCACTCCGGTTTGAGCCCCGTGAGCTCACCCACAAACATGTAGGTGTTAGGGCGAAGCTGAAATGGCCTCTCAAGGCTATCAGCATAGGAAAAAAAAACAGCCTAAAAATATAATAACGTGAATGTTGTTTTGTTCTATTTCTCAATTTCACCCAAACAATTTTTCCTAGTGAAACTGCATTACAGATCGGTGATTGTCATGATTTCGTGACTTAAAATAGTAATTTCGGGCGCCCGTTACCAACATAATTGTATTGTTACGCTCACTGTCACTGAAATTAGCTAAAAAAAATATAGTAGCCTTATAAAACCGTACCTACCTCGCATAAAGGATTCAAATAGGGGATCTTCAACGGTAATCCTTCTAGCAGCAATGAAGTCAATAGGGTCGTATTGGACAAGAGTTGGGATATCGCTTCAACGAGATTATTCAGCATAAAATTGGTTAAAATCACAGCTCGTTTGTTTACAGTTTTTGCTAGTCGATCGCAGTCGATTTGTTCTAGTACTGAGAAAAATATGTAATATTTTTTTATTAATACTTTTTAGGCACGCAAACGGTAGTTTTTATGGTCTAATTTGAATACGACATTTATGTAGAACAATAATTTATAACGCAAATATTACGACACATAACTACATAGTTATTTCTCTTTCAAGTTCCACTTCTGTTGTATAATGGGTGCTATCGATATTAATATGCACACACTCTTAATCACTCAATCAATAATGTTTGAAACTTAACATTCAAATGTAACTTTGTAAGAACAACAGACAATTATTTTTATCTAAGCAACAATTGTTTTGTTTTTTTTTAATTCTTAATCATGGTATAAATGCTGATGCTTACCAGTTTTCACCGGCTGCCTGCATCGTATAGAAATAGAATGCAGACTTAAATCACAACTCAAAGCGTTCAGTATCGGCGGCCAATCAGCATACTTAATTCTATCGACGCAGAAATCCAATATTTTTCCATTCCCGGTTGGCAGCACATTGTTTAGGGGCGTTAAATTTTGTAGTTTGCAACATTTAGCATAACACTGTTGGAATATACGGCTGCTCTTCGGTTCGACACCTTTGCCGACCATATTCAAAAATCATCAAAAAAACATTCGTTCGATCTTCACGAATCACAGTTTCTCGCTTCGAAGAGCGATATTAAAAATGTACAATAAATAAATTTGATTTTGTTGTTGAATATTCTTCAAAAATTGAATTCCTATTAATGTCAATAGGACAACGGTTTATACTTGGAATCAACTGACATTGACAGACTAAAAGGTGTTTTTATTTCGTTTAAAGTTTCTAAAACTACATAGTATGTATTAAATAATATCGAGGGGTTTAAAGCTATTTGAGCGTTAAGCGTTAAGGTTTAAATGACTTTTTTACAACTTCACAGGGGAGCCATTAAAAGTAAAAAATTTAGAAAAAATATTACATAAAAACTTCTTCACCTCTTTGAATAGAGTAAACTTAATTGAAGTTCAATAAAAAACATCGAGTTGTTGATGCTAATAGGTACGCACCAATACGCACAATAAAAACGCATCTTTCATTACAAAGATAAACGTCGCGTATTTACTGGTGGTAGCACCTCTCGTGAGTCCGCGCGGGTAGGTACCACCACCCTGCCTATTTCTGCCGTGAAGCAGTAATGCGTTTCGACTTGAAGGGTGGGGTAGCCGTTGTAACTATACTGAGACCTTAGAACTTATATCTCAAGGTGGGTGGCGCAATTACGTTGTAGATATCTATGGGCTCCAGGTGGGCTGTGAGCTCGCCCAACCATCTCCTCCTCCTTGAGTCGTGTTCCTCATGTCTGAGGGTCGTGACCACCATCACCCATGAGCTTCAATCTTAAGATCTTTTTCCACTTTCCCCTGTCCACGGTGTCATACAGCGCGCTGTACACTGTACTGTCCAAAGCGGTGCGGATCTGATCGGACCAACGAGTCTGGCTGCGGCCTCTAGATCTGTTGCCTTCAACTTTCCCTGTGATCATAAGTTTTTCCAGGTTATTGCCGTCTTTCCTCGCAATGTGACCAAAATATTCGAGGATCCGCTTCAGATATACAGTAGACAGTTTGATTTTGATGCCCAGTTGCTTCAATATCGACACATTAGTCCGGAAGGCTGTCCACGGAATTCTTAGCATGCGTCTCCAACACCATATTTCGAAAGCATCGATGCGCATTCGGTCTGCTGCTTTCAACGTCCATGTCTCAGCTCCATACAAGAAGATAGAGAAAACAAGAGTCCGCACCAGTCTGGTTTTAGTTTTCAGGCCTATCCCTCTATTCTTCCAGATCTTCTGTAGCTGAGACATCGCACTTTTAGCCATTCCGATACGTCGGCGCACGTCAGTTTCACATGAGCCTTTGTTGCTGATGCAGGACCCGAGATACACGAATTCGTCTACAACCTCTAATCCAAGCGCCCCATTCAATCTTAGAACATTTGCACGATCCACCACCATTAATTTCGTTTTTGATCTATTTATGGAGAGGCCTAGGCTGTTGCTGATACGTTCCATTTTGCTGAAGAAAAGAGACATTTCAGATTCGTCTGCAGCTAGCAGGGTCGTGTCATCGGCATATCGGAGATTTGTAATATGAGCTCCACCAATGCGCACACCTCCCGACCAATCTTCACAAGTCTGCCGCATGATGTACTCTCCATATGCATTAAAAAGTATAGGTGACAGTATACAACCTTGCCGGACACCTTTTCCAAAACAGAACGGTTGGGACACAGCTTCATCGATTCTGACAACTCCCTGACTGTAGATATACAGGCTCTGTACCAGCACTATCAGATGATTGGGTACACCAAGAACATTCAATACCTACCACAAGGAACTCCAGTTGACACAATCAAAAGCCTTGCTGTAGTCGATGAAACACATGATGAATGGAACGTTGTATTCGCGACCCTTCTAACCATCAATCTAACCAACCATCTAAGCAATAAAAAAAAATTAAATAAATTGCGAAATGTCGCTTAAACCAAATACCCTTTAACCCCCCGATAATGAGATTTGACATGCAACTGGGAAGAGGATATGATAATTGTTTGTAACCACCGTTAGAATGGGCAGCTCTATTTGGTATCATATTACACAGGTAAATATCGAATTCGCTACATTTCTCCGTAATAAGCAGAGAACGTTGTTACTTCTATCGAGTAGCAGCGTAGATTTGAGGACCATTATTCCTCCTAGTGTTTATGTTCCAAATGTAAGAATTCCTAAACTTACATTAGCATGAAAGGATTCCACAAAGAAATCTTATTAGCTGACTTTTTAACATATCCTAATACGTTGATATGTATTTTTGTTTGTTTGTAACGAAATCTTTGAATTTCATTTTCTGACTTCAAGACGTTCGATTAACTTGAAAATTTGGACACGTACCTATCACCGAGCAATGACTTAGTTTTATAACTTCACTTTAATTTTATGCTAATCAGTACCAACGGGCACCAGGATTTAAAAAAATCGGTTTGTTATTTAACCCTTCGACTGCCGTGTAGGTCACCGGTGCCCTACAAGGCAGTTAAAGGGCTATGCGTGTTTCTTTATTCTTTAAAATAACAGTTAAAACTACACCACTACAAGTTAAGACTATTGCCATAAAAAAAAAACTACATGATAGATTTTTTTTGATCATTTATAACTGTCACACTATTGCTATATATAGAACTTGTCAGCCAGCTCTGTTTTCCATAGTTTTATCAGCTGTTCAATTATTTTGATAGGTATGCCGATATTTTGTTTACTTTTCGACGTACTTAGATTTACATAAGGTTATTTGGGTTTTTGGGGGTAAGCAATGCGGTCGACGCTTCGAACTTCGATTAAAAAAGTTCATTAATTAATTAGTAATTAAAAATAACATTTTCGTATTAAATCTTTTATTAATATAAATGTGTTTTTCTTAAAAAATAAATTGTTTTAACGCTGCAAATCACCGAATTAATACAGTATTTTAATAATATTATTGAATTTTGCAATCTGTAAAAATCCGTTGTATCTATCTGCCACGTTAAAAACGGATAAAATATTTATTTACAAACACCCAATTCGTGTTTTTAAGACACGCAAATGCCTTTAGCGGCTTCCATTGAAACTAAAACCATAGATTATACATGACTAAAACCAAATTAGTTGTTGGGAAACAAAATTTAAGTATAGCTTTTACTTGAACTTTGAATAGTTATCGGGCAAACGATTTATAAATTGTAGAGCCTAATGTATGAATCAGCGGTACAGTGTTTTAAGAAAGAAAAAAAAAAGAGTCGTGTATGTACTGATGTACGCACGTAAGAAGTTGAAAGTATTCTTTTGGCGTAATCGAATCATTTACAGATTCTAATATAAATAATTTTAAACTTAAACAATACTTACATATAATATATATATATATATAATAGCCCTATTACAAATTTGAAACATAATCTTTACAATGAAATAAATTATGTTTTACAGTGGCGCGCAACTTAGCCACTCTCATTCCAAAACGCGCCCAGAGAATTAGAACTTCAAAAGTTTAAAGCAATCCGCCATATTTTTGTTTTTAATCGATCTCAAATCAAATAGAAATATCAATTCAGATTCAGGCCGTATATATTTTTTATATTTTCAAACTCTACCACCAGTTAAAGATAAAATCCGAAACTTATTTTACAAGACATGGACTTTAGTCCCTATTTAAATTCACGTAAAATTTGATTTTGATTGCAAAGCCCTAAATCTTATTAACCTGTTACTTAAAAAATCGTATAAAACTAATATAACAAAACAATACTTTATGATTCTCTTCTTTAATTTACACACTGGGCCTTCTTCACAGTTACTTTACGAAATACAGATAATACAAAATATTTAGGTACTGCATTTAATAAAATTGGCTGACAGTTGACACTATTGACAGTTTAAAATTAAAGACACGCCGTCTTAATTTAACTATTTCGTTATAGGTATGGCTTCTTGTGTAACTAAATTGGTAAAGTCGATGTGACTAATTATTAGATCTGGGCGTTTCTAACATCTCTCATGTATAAAATTAGAATTTTCTATGAATCACAAGCCTTTTTTTATTTACATTTATTTACTATTAACAAGAACAGTTAGATTACTATTTATTGGCTTGAAAGTTTCAAAAATTTCTGTATTTATAATATAGCTGTGAACCAATGTTATTTGTTATTATTATATAACATTAAAAAAAGTCAAAGTAGGCGACTTTGCGTCTTATGGCATTAACGTTAAGGCACATTCTGGTCATGTATTATATTTAAGAAGGCTATTTTACAAAAACAAACTTAATTATATTGTAGTACACAGCTAACTATCCTTTTCTTTAAGCAAAATAAATGGAAGTAGTGCGATTCTTAAGGTTTCAAGAATTCATTGACGGTCATCATGTAAATAAATGACAATCAGAATCATTTTACTGCACCATTTTCGTTCTCTTGATGGAGAAATGAGCTCAGGCTCCACCTAGAATCAGAGTGGTTACCACGGTTGTCCTTTCCTTTAGATTGCATATTCGATGAATTTCTAACATATTTGCTAATAAGATTAATTACATTTATGTCGGCCGACTTTAAAAAAATAATATAAAAGTTTTCATTGTCTGGAAAGTTTTGTTTAGTGTTTTGAATTCGTGAAAGCTTCCTTTAGATTTTTGTAACTATAGAATGGGAACCGAAAAAATTAAGAAAAATAAAAATCGCACTAATCCCTTTTAAAATGTACTTCTTTTTTTTAAAGTAAAAGATTAATTAATATAAAACTTTGTTTACTAACTTTTTTGTCTAGTTTACTTTAACGTCAATATTAATTTAAAAAATAAAAAAACAGATTAGTAATCAGATTACTCTACTAGACTTTGGTCGATGAGCGAATCAAAACGAAACGCAAAAGCTCACGATTAATATTAAAAACAATTATTGTTTATATCAGGGCTGTCCAAAACACATACCTTTGCCGACTAATTAAATTTACTATAAAAGCTGGAGGGCCGCAGAAAATATATTTTCAAAAACAAAATATATTCCAGAAAAGAATTTTTTTTTTTTTTGTAAAAGGTAGCTTAACTTTTAAATGATGTTATGGAAATGGAACGTTACAAGCGTTCTACCAAACATTCTACCAAATATTGATGATATGTTTTGACAAAGAATTCCATTATTCAAACGATTTATATCCAAAACTATTTTCTGATTGAAACATGCGTCTCGGGTCGCATGCCTTTTCTGGACAGCCCTAATTTACACCACCACCGCACTAGAGCTAAAGCAATACTAAAGCAACACACAGTCGATTATTTTTATCGATAAAACATACGAAGTCTAGTGTTGTTTTACTTCATAAGATTCTCGTAAATATTTCAGTTTCCGCCGGCTGACGGGCCGTCGGTATTGACTGCAACTTTCAACCCACACATCTTGTAAAACGGTAACATTCATTATAGACTTTATTAAAATTAGTATGAAGTCTTTAGGAGTTAACATTTTATCCTATACAATAAAAGCTCTTTATTCGGGTTATCTTCATTCGCGTTTTCACTATGGGCGGATTAAAAAAAAATGCGACCCAATTCCTATATTCGCTGCTAAGGACTATTTATTCGCGGACCTAATCGGTACATACATACTGATTCCATAATATTCCAATATGTAGGTATCCAACCTAATATCCTTTAAAAAAGTAAAATAGACCTTAATACAACTACGCCTAAAGTATGTTGTTAAATGGTGTCGCCTAGGAACGTATCCCAAATATGTAAAATTCACAGTTTCTGTATTCGCGGTATATTTACAGAACATATACCCCGCGAATAAAGAGCTCTTATTGTACGGTAGTAAAGTTTGATTGACTACCCTTAAAATTAAAGTGTAATCTGTGTAGACAAAAAAATAAACATAATTTACAAAACTTTTACGATTTAATATGGCATTGATTTTTTTTAATTGTCATTACATAGCTTCAACGTTCCGAATACTTTACAGCTTTAATACACAAATTAATAAAAAAACGCAAGAATAAACAGTGAAAGTAGTTTTAATTAGGTCTACCAGGGTATACCACTCGCCAAAACTGATGAAATAAATAAACTATAATTGAAGAGCCTTTTTGTAGGGTAGGTTATAAATTAGTGAATTGGAATTTATATTATATTTAGTTGAGAAGGTGTTGTGACGTACATAGATGGGCATAATAAATCTAAACGAGTATTACAGTCAGAAGAAGACTTGACTAGTATTATAGATATCTGTGCAATAATTCTTAGTATACAAGATTTGTTTTAATAATTGTAATAAAAAATTAAAAAAGAAATCTGAATTCTGTGATAATCTATAATACATTACAAGTGATCTCAAATTCAGTTGAAATTATGGTTACCGTACCATTAAGATCGGTATTTTGTTAGATGTGTAAGTGTGGTCACTCGATTTGTCTTATCATTAGTAAGCACTTGTTTTTTGGTTGAAATTAATTTTAAAAGTGAAGTTTTTTGAAGACAAAAAACGACTGCGCGCACGAAAAAGTGTCACGTTCCGCCTGAGCCTGAGCGTGCAAGCGAGAGCGCGAAACAAGCGATAGAGAGGCACAATCGGCTCAAGCGTTGGCTTGTGACACATTTATATCTCTTCCCGGGTGACGTCAGAGCTAGCAGTTCCAATAGTTCTGCTACTGACGTTATCACATAAAACTATCGTCCGTATACCGACTTTACAGACAACCAATATTTATTCGGTAAAATATTGCATCAATACCGATAACTTATCAGCATCACGCTAAGCGATTAAAAACACGATAAACAATTAATCGGTTAAGAGATCAGTTCGCCTTTCGTGATATTAAATTAGTATCGTTTTGTATATTTTAATTCAACTGAACACACATCAGGTACTCGCACGATACGATAATAAATAAATCGAGTATCGCCAGAACAAAAGGAACCTTAGAAGATACTATAGGAAGAAAACGAAAAACTGATTTGAACGAAAAAAAAGAAAAGAGATTATATTTCAATTTTAGCTTTTTTATTTTTATTTAAGGGATTTCATGACCTGGTAACTAAGACCTTAGGTTATGTCTTATTTTAATTTATATTCTTATTATTATGAAAAATGATAATATGGAGTGAAATGAAATGAAATGATATGTGATGAAATATAATATATAATCTCAGTAAAATGGTGGTCATGTACTGAGATTTTTTAAGTGGACTTTTTGGAGGATCCCGAGAAGTTACGTACAGCGGCTTTGTTTGATTTTCCCACATTTGTGCACTTTCACAGATATTAAATAGTTAATAAACCACCGTTATTACATATTTAAACCTGAAGAAGCACTAAATAGACAAAATAAAACAAATCACACAACTTCACTCCTCGCGTTTCCGCCAAAAAGTCCTCAATTTTAGCTGATTGACTCAAGTACGTTATTTTTATATACGGAACGATGGAAATTTATTTTAGTTGATTCAAGTCGTTTTTCAAATAAGTTTGTCGAATTTTGTTTTGTCTTTCACGCAAACAATGAATTATTTAGTAAGTAAGTTTTCGATTTATGGAATTAACCATATAAAGTTTTCCTGTGTATTCCAGACAACTAGTCTCATGACACGGCACACCAGCTTACCAAGAGAGAGGAGCCCCAGAAATATTACGTATTCTTATAATACATGAGGGTAGGAGGAGTTAAGGCTAATCAAAATATCCTTAGGTTCGTAAATTAATTTATAGCCCTGTACTACATACTAGTAATTAGGTATTTTTTTGTTCTTACCTTTTTAATTCCTTTATTGCGGAAGTCGACCGTGAACACGTGTTAAGTATGAATTTCTTTCAAAAAAACAAAAGGAGAACAAACAATGGCAACTCCCGCGTTCGCATGAGGTCGTTGACCTCGCGCATCATTTAATATCCATTGCGTTGCAATGCGTACATTGCACGCAACACAAAAACCTCTAGCAAAATATTATTTTTTCGATTGTTGATTATGTTATTGTGTCATAACTTAGTACACGACAGTAAAATCAGACGCTTTTAATAAAGCGCTTTCATCTAAAAAGCTGATATTTGTTATAACAATATAAAATCGATTATACACAAAGCACCAATAATTAAAATTATCTCAATTTAATAAACTACAAACCTAATCGAATCGTTTTTCAATTTCAGCTAAATAGACCTTTAAAGGTTCCCTTAAAATGATCAGCGATAAGAATGAGAAATAAATATTAAAAGTTTTTATCGATAAATCGTTACACATTCATCGATACGGATAATAATGCTCTATGCAAATCACCCGAAAATCGTTTAGTAGAACGATCAAATGAATTAAAGAACAAAATTATATAAGGGGCTTATCGATATTATTGCTTCCTTTACAAAGTTGTGACTGCAGAAGATTTGATTGTTTTAATAAATAAAAAAATAAAAAATATTGTTTGTTTGTAATGGTTCTCGCAAACATTACTAGAAATAAAAACCGTTTAAAGCTTCTTTCAGACTACGCTATAATAAAATAGCATATAGTATATAGCCCATAGCACAACAATATCGCGCACCATACATTGCTATGGACACGTTCACACTGTACTGTACTATATATTATTAACTAATTATATATACGCTGCTATACTGTATAACACTATAGTATAGCGTAGTCTGAAACCAGCTTAAACCGACCACTTAAAGTTTCGTAATTGATTCTGGGCGATTCTGATTTCACTGTGTATTTATGTTATTTTAAAAGAAATATCAAAAGCCATTAAAGACAATTAATCTTGTGATGCGGTCGGATCGATTCGTGGCGATTTATGCAAGACGAATATAGGTAGCTTGCAAAAAGAGTGAGTGCGTTGTATGTATCTATCTCTCTTGCACGCCCGCACTTAATCCGGTGACGTCATAGACTGCGATATGCACTTTTTGTGATTTTGTTTTTTTGAAGTGAAACTTCTGATACGATTTCTAACAAGGTTGCGTTAAACGTTTAACGCTACCGTACTAGAAAGAGACAGAGTGAGAGTGAAGCGTGGCACTCGAACGCATTCGCGGAGTATACCTATTACAGGGCCGCGCGAGCGTTAGCAACGAGTAGCGTCCACTATTCTAATGAAGTATTTAAAGAAATATGTATGTATTTATTTTTCTGTCTATAATTTAAAACACAATATATAATATAAATGTTGAAGATGTCGCATCTTTTATACACAGCATTCTCTATTACAAGAGCAATTTGATTTAAGAATGAAAAATGAAGAAAACCACAATACTACACACATCGGACAAGAAGTTTCACTTCATTCACGTGCATCAAGTTGCACGCGCACCGTTTTTCGTGTATCTATGAGTAACAGAGATCGTTCTACTTGGTGTACAAGTCAGTCGGCGTAGGCGAGGTAGGCGCTCCCGTGGGGGCGGCGGTCGGCCTCCGGTTGCTCGGCGTCGCTCTCCGAGTTGGATCGGCGCCCGTTCCACTCGCTCTCCGGGTCCGAGAATATGTTCCGGTCGGCCAGGGCGTCATCGTCCATCGCTTCCATGTCCAGTTCCTCTGGAAAACCCAATTTAATTCTTAAAGTCTGTATAGGCTAGCTAGCTAGATGATATGACTATATATGATTTTAAAGGTGACGACAAAGAGAAGATCTATTCTAGTACCCTATTCTAGTAACCTTGGGAGGTTATACTAGATTCACTGGAAGAGTACGTGAGCTCTAATCAGAGGACGTTGCTAACACTACCAGCCCTAGCAAGAGCAGTGCTTCGCAAAGTCTAATACCGGAAACGCGACCCACTTAAAAGTTCCGGTGAGAAACTCAGTGGGTTGTGTCCGAGGGTTAACTTACCCGCCGAGCCCTTCGTCGTAAGCGACGGGTTCGACGAGAACGGTGACCGGTGCTTAGGGTGCCTAAAAGCACTGATATTGGATCCGGAGGCTTCGAAATGACATGACCGAATGTTATAGTTCGGAACATGTATATAAATGGACTTATCTTGAAAATGTCGTTAGCGAGATTCAGAAATCTGTTCATTTCGATTTATTGCTAATGTAACCCCACGATATCAGCAGCTGTTCGCAGTAGGTACTTAGTGGTATTTTCAAATGAATTTACGTGTTTCAGTTGTGAGCCCGCGAAGGGGGTACCACATTCCTGCATATGTGTCAGTGGGTAGAGGAATATGACCTTAATCAAAGAGACCTTTGCAGTCTATGGTAACAAGTAATAGTAGGCCCTGACCTCTGTCCATCTCCAATATCAATTCCCTAAAGATTTAGTTTGACCCCTCCCTCAACCCTTCATGTAATTAATAGCCGCCCCCTCCCCCAATAGGAGGTAACGCGGAACACATTCCCGAGTACATTCGATCGACAAGCTGTTACGATTGCTGTTTTGCCACTGACCGTTACTGGTGATGAGTTCGTCGGACCAGTCGTTGTCGAACTCCAGCTGCTTGTTGAGGTCCCGCTCTGTGGGCGACTGCACAGCGTCCGTATCGGCGTCGGTCACGTCGTATATCTCGGTCATCTTCATCTGACAACGATACATAAGCATTTGAGCAACGATAATAAGTTACGTAATTTACGTTGTACATAGCGTACATAGCGGTAGGCAGCGGCTTTCAGCAGTAGGCAGCGGCTTGGCTCTGCCCCTGGCATTGCTGAAGTCCATGGGCGACGTTAACCACTCACCATCAGGTGGGCCGTGTGCTGGTCTGCCGACAAGGGCAATAAAAAAAAAGTAACTAACACGGTATTACGCCGTTAGGAGATTCGAAATTGGTGTGTTTTTATTGCTTAGATGGATGACATCTACAACGGAAATACCGCCACCCGCTTACAGATATGAGTTCTAAGATTGAGATCTTAGAACTCATATCTGTAAGCGCGATAGAGTACTGAGGTACAGTACAACGGCTGCCCCACCCTTCAAAACGAAACGCATTACTGCTTCACTCCAGAAATAGGCAGGGTGGTGGTAGCTACCTGCGTGGACTCACAAGACGTCCTACCACCAGTAGAAAGAGGTTTTAGCTTATTTTTTTTTTTTTTTAGGTAATGTAGAACATGTCGATGGACGCTCACGGCTGTGAGGAATCCGAATCGTTTGCTTGCAAGTCTTATAGGAAACAGTAAAAAAAATTGGAGATACAATTACAAAATCGATTAAGTACTATTTAAATGCATTTGTGTTGATTGCTAAGACGTTTATGTATGTAAATGTATGTAAATTAATAAAATGAACAAAAGAAATTTTAATTGTCTAAATTTAGGTGACGACATTACATAAGTAAGCGCCAGTAATGATGTAAATTAAACACTATTATGATCCAGATAGAATTCAAAATACTCAGATTCTTGTTTTTTTATGATAGTCAAATTGAGATGATGGGATCTTCTCAATAATGCATCGTATGACTCTCCATGAAACATTCGGTACATAAACCAGAGACCCGAAGTCTCTACATATAAATTAAGCATTAACTATACTAATATGTGGAAATGTCTGTTCGTTGTCTTTTTTTAATTTATTCTTATTCCCACAGTAGACTACACTGACACTTTTCCTTGTCCACGTGTGCGAAGACGCGGGCAACAGCTGGTTATATATTATTAAACATATAAATCACATCATTTGAAAACTGCCATGATATTGAACTAATATTTTTAGCGCTAGGCAGCGACTTGGCTCTGCCCCTGGCATTGTTGAAGTCCATGGGCGACGGTAACCACTCACCATCAGGTGAATAAATAAAAAACATTTCTTTACGAAATCAATTGACTACTGTTCTAATAGTTAAACCAGTATGTTTTGCGAAAATCAATAACATACCATCAGTACCACATATAAAAAGCAATTATCAACTTTAAATAACAATAATTTTAAAATTGTGCTTGAATATGTATGCAATACGCTATTCTGTGGTATCTATCGTTCTAGATACGTTCGATATCCGTACTTGTTTACAAAAAACCAACGAAGTTTGACCTTTGGCATAAAAAAGTGTCAATATTTGATTGAGGAGTCAATGATCTCTCACATTTAAAAATGGATTACTTAAATCGATTTAATTCGTTGATACAAATTGATTTCCGGCTTCCCCAAAGTACCACTACTTTGCGATTTTCACCCTGCCATATTCCCCTATCTATCTCTCTTTCCTTGGTCACACCCTTAAATTGGTACTGGCGACAGTGCACATTACGCACTCGCTGTTTGATAAAACTGTACTGCCTATTGTCATACTTCGACCTATTTATAAATATGAACCACATTTTAATTCCCAAGGAGTATTTATTAACTTAAGATACTAATAAAGCCCGGTTTAGACTACATTTTTTATTTTTTATTGCTTAGATGGGTGGACGAGCTCACAGCCCACCCGGTGTTAAGTAGTTACTGGAGCCCATAGACATCTACAACGTAAATGCGCCACCCACCTTGAGATATAAGTTCTAAGGTCTTTTTTTTTTTTTATTTATTTATTTATTTATGTACACACAGAAAACAAGACACAGTACAGAGTAATAGGAAAATTATGTACAAAGGCACTGCTTATTTCTTTGAGAAATCTCTTCCAGCAGACCTGCGAGAGGATAATGAGAATAATAATAAAAAGTGATAAGTGTGTGTAGAACAAATAACACATAACTAAAATAACAAATACAACATGAGAATTATAGCACATACACATAGCAAATATTATAAGTAACACAGTAACACTCGTATATGCGAAGAGTATAGGTCTTAGTATAGTTACAACGGCTACCCCGCCCTTCAAGCCGAAACGCATTACTGCTTCACGGCAGAAATAGGCGGGGTGGTGGTACCTACCCGTGCGGACTCGCATGAGGTCCTACCACCCGTACGTTAGTATTTATTCAAGTGGCGAATAATTTTGTAGCTTAATGTGTCTGAAATCTGAACCACAAAAGTTTAGTCAAAAATAATGCAGTGTGTTCTGTTTTCTCCAACCTCCTCCAGCCAATTAGCATAATTTTTTACGTCGTCATTAACGTCTGTGACACAATACCACATTGTTTTTTTTTAATATGCTGTGAACTTGACCGATGCGCAATATGTTTATTGTTCGTGACCTGACGTGTGCCTTCGTCATTGTGACGCGAGTTCAAATACCAAGATTAAAAGTCTCTAACTCAGGGCCTTGTACAAGCATATTAGGTATTTAACAGTTAACAGCCACGAGTATCATTGTAAGCCTATTTAACAGGTCATTTGATATCGTTTATAAGTTTAAAAAACAACAAAAGGTTCCTAATCTATATTTTGTTTATCGTTCTCACATCACTAAATCAGTATACGGGAGCGTTCTGACAAAATAAAAAATATTCTCTGTCTGAATGACTTTACCTATTACTGTACGAGTATATCTTAATAGCAATGTACAATCTGTTTATCTATAATAATAAAATTCAAATCGTAGAACTAAACACGTTTGATTGAGTAAAAGAAACACTAAAAGAATGAACATAAAAAGTTTCTCCCTACGGCACGTGACAATGGATATCCTGCTGGAGATATAACTCAAGGAGGGTTGACTTCAGTAAGGTGATCGGTCGTAACACTCGTGTCAAATCTCCATGCAGCATGATAAGGGGGAATTCTGCGCTGATCACACTTAATGTGGGGTAGGACAAAAAGAAAAAGAATGAGTTCCAAAGTCCAAATCCAATGTTAATGAATGATCATTGTGAACTGCCCTGCCTCTATCCGCACTATTGTGTTCACAAAACGCATCCATTTTGAAGTTTATTGAACTTATTTAAAAGGCACCACTGCGATTTGTCAGATAGGATTCGGATTAATTAGGTTCGATTAAAAAACCAATAGAGATTAGTAAAAGTACTGCGTTTACGGAAGACAAAAATTGATCGAGGTTGATTATTATTATCGTATTAGTGAAAAAGAATTGTTTCTATACAAAGCTTATTCTGACAATTACGACAAAAAAAAAACAAATCAGCCTTTTTTTTTCCTGCCTATGCTGATAGCCTTGAGAGGCTATTTCAGCTTACCCTAGCGTGTGTAGGTGAGCTCACGGGGCTCAAACCGGAGAGTTGCTAACACTGACCCTAGCAAGAGCAGTGCTTTGCAGAATCTACCACCGGGTAGGAAACGCGACCCACTGAGAAGATCCGGCGAGAAACTCAGTGGGCTGTGTCTGTGGGTTAGTTCGCTCGTCGAGCCCTTCGTCGCAAGCGACGGTTCGACGAGGACGGTGACCGGTGCTTGGGGTACCTAAAAGCACCGTTAATGGATCAGGAGGATCCGTGATGACGTAAAATCAGCCGAATCAGTCGAGCCGTTCCAACGTTCACGTCATACATTTACTGATTAACTTTAATAGATGCAAACTCTTTCATGTTCAAATAAAACCGACCCTTACAATTTTATTAATTAAAACAAACGACGGTACTAGAAATACCTTATTACACACAACATTCAGTGACGTAGATATGACATTGCGCATCATGATTGATGTAAAAAATTTATTAGAATTAAAGAATTTTGACAATTTATTTAAAAAAAAACAAGAACTAATAATATTTCACGAGACGGTGTTCGTTCGCGTTTTGATATAATCAACCAGCTTCAGCCAGGCTTTGGAGTTCGCAGCGTTGTTCTCTGCGAATACATGCAAAGCTAGAACCGGTTAATACCGGTTACAGTGTTAAAATTTTCCAAAACGTATCATAGATGTGTATTTTCAGAATCCTACTCCAGTTTTTATTTATTGCTTAGATGGGTGGACGAGCTCACAGCCCACCTGGCGCCAAGTGGTTACTGGAGCCCATAGACATCTACGACGTAAATGCGCCACCCACCTTGAGATATAAGTTCTAAGATCTCAAGTATAGTTACAACGGCTGTCCCACCCTTCAAACCGAAACGCATTACTGCTTCACGGCAGAAATAGGCGGGGTAGTGGTAACAACCCACGCGGGCTCACAAGAGGTCCTACCACCAGTGAAAGTTATTGTTGTGATAATTTCAGCCAATAAATTAATGTACATAATAATATATAATATATGGATTGCAATATGAATTATAGTTTACGTTACATACTATTTTTTATTGCTTTCCGGTTGCAAATATTTACCAGCAACAAAGCACGTACAGTTGTTATCACACATCCTTACGTAGCTGCGTATTTTATTTTATCGCAATTTTGTCCTTCAACAATTACTAAACATGATGTAACTTGTTTCAACTTATAAAACATGTTAGATATTGAATCAATATTAATTATAATCATTATCAAAAGATCATACCTCTGATGATGAACATAGGGAGATACCAAACGCGCAACCAAATTACAATCCGCTTTGAACATTTTAAATACATAAATTATAATGTTTGATTTATGTTTTTCAATATGATAGGCAGCGGCTTGACTGTGCCCCTGATATTGCTGATTAGCGAATATTGTCCATTAGCGAAGGTAATAACTCATTATCAGGTGGACAGTATGCTCATTCGCCTAAAAAAAGTAAGTGACGGAATGTTGAATAATTTAATTGAAGAAAAGATAAATTTCAACAAATTTAGAGCAATGAACTTTTCAATTAACAAACATTTCTTGTTGTGAATGAAATTCCCATTTTATATTTAAAAAAAAATATATTGCTTAGATGGGTGGACGATCTCACAGCCCACCTGGTGTTAATAGTGGATACTGGAGTCCATAGACATCTACAACGTAAATGCGCCACCCACCTTGGATCTTAGTATAGTTAAATAATTATAATAAAATAGATAATATATAATAAAGTACCAAATTATTTAACACCAAAATAAAATCATGTATTCATGTGTGTGTGTTAATGCAAATCAAACTTGTCGACCCATATTTTATCAAATCTTACTCTATAAATTAGTTGGCAACACTATTCTTTCTTGTTATTTTATCATATTCGCAATGTGCATCGTAAACTGCGAAAATAGTTTTAATCATATCTACCACTCACGAAACGCGTAGAAAATACTAAACGAAATACATATAATAAGTTAGCGTACTAACAAGAGAAATGAACAAACTTGACCTCATCTATCGGCCATCAATCACATCGCATGACGTATGTATCTTGCGATGGAAGCGGCATGCTTGTTTACAAGAAAGGTTATCAATATTATTTTTAAATATTTCTTACTAAGTAATTAGCGAGGAATACTTTACCCGGTCAGAGGTTTTTATCCTGATAATTCTGGCCAGCTTATCGTCAGGACATACGGATACCACACACAGAAAAGGATAATGCTAGTGTAATCCCATAACTAATTCGTAGTACTCAAAATTTATCCTTCATTTTAATACTTTTTTAGTTTTTATGGGTGGGCTAGCTCAAGGCTCGACTGGTGTTAAGTGGTTACCGGAGCCAGTAGACATAAAGAACGTAATTTTTTATTGCCCTTGTAGGCAGACGATTATACGGCCCACCTGATGGTGAGTGGTTACCGTCACCCATGGACTTCAGCAATGCCAGGGGCAGAGCCAAGCCGCTGCCTACCGCTAATTCTGCCACACCCACCTTAAGACATTAGAACTCATGTCTTTATAGTAAAACTCAGTTTTATAGTAAAACGGTTGGTCCACCCTTCAAGCTGGAACGCATTGCTGATAGAAATGGGCAGGGTGGTGGTACATACCCATGCGGGGTCACAAGACCTCTACCATCAGTGCAAACCAGCCAGCAATTCAGCTCAGACGCAAGTTTATCTCTATCTATACGTAACAATAGGAAAAGTGTCCCACAGTTTGCGAGATGTAGCTCAGAATTAATGCGCAGAATGTCTTCTAGCGCAGCTGATTCTTCTAATTTTCAATATATTATATACATCAAAGCTTAAACCATTGCCAGAACACATAAAAAAATTTGGCCAACCCTATACATATATCCAAATAAGTTTTTTGTAGTAATTTCGTTCAAAATGATTCAAAAATAAATTTCGATTAAAAAAATTCGTCACAACCCGGGATTTTTCTGTTCATTGATATTACGACAAATCCCAGCAAATAGAGCAATCTAACTCAAAAGTCCATGAAGTTACAGTCCATAGAACAAAATAGGGGTGCTACGGCAAAAGAATTATCGAACCCAAAAGTGCCTTTTCGCATTCGTTGCCCTGGACGATTATTGAGTTAAATCAGAAATTAACTTATCAAAATACTATTGAACTTCACATTATAAGTATAATATAATATGAGAAAAATCGAATTTGTATCACTGCTAATTCTAAACCTACACGAGCAGAGAGAGCATAGTTATTGCGGGTAGGTACCAGGTAATAAGTAGGTACTTATTTTGATATATGAAACACAAATCGTGGTTTCATCTCCAATAAAATTATGAAAATATATTAACACTTGTTATATTATTCTATTTATTATGTATCATAATTTATGTCGTTGCAACATAAAAATGCGTCTCGATCCATATTAGCATCATGAAATTCGCCGTTGAGTCGTGCCTTCGTGGCCCCAAGACGTCTGTCTTCAAAATCTCTAGGGTTCATCAGCCGTAACTGTGCGTCAAATATGTATATTTCTTACAATTTAGATACAGTAAAAGCTCTTTATTCGCCGGTATATATATATATATGTTCCGTAAATAGGTCGCGAATACGGAAACCTTGAATATGGAATGATAATTTACATACTTGGGATACATTTCTAGGCGATATCATTTAAACAACATACTTTAGGCGTAGTTGTAATAAGGTCTATTTTACTTTTTTTATTAGTCCATTTAACGACGTCTTTACAAAGGATATTCGGTTGGATACCTACATATTGGAATCTTTTTAATCAGTGTGTATGTACCGATGTAGCGATTAGATCTGCGAATGAATCAATCTTTAGCCGCGAATATAGGAATTGGATTTTATTAATACGCGAATAGTTAAACGCGAATAAGGAGCTTTTATTGTATAATTTACAATTGGTTATTGGGTTGTCGGCCAATCAGTTTTTTTTAGTAGTCAATAGTTCGCTTGCATCGCAGTACAAATTGCGAATGAATGAGTCACAAACTAATCGATTCGTAAACAGAATGTGTACGTCACATTAAATGCTCGATATACTCTAAGTACGAACAATATCGATTTAACTATTATGATGTCATCTTAAGTGATACGCATCATTTTCTTTGATAAACAACAGTTGGCTGATGTTAATTCATTCGGTCATCAGGAATTGTTTAAATACAGTCTGTCCGGTTCTCAATCAGCCTGATCTTCTTGGGATACTATTACCTATTCATCCAATCTCAGAGTAATTTCTCCTTAATTAGTGAATTCTTCCTCAAGCACCATAGACCTATATAGTAGGGACACGACATATTGTTCTATACGTACAATTGCTTATATAAATAGCACCCATTTTGAAGGCACACACATAAACATATATCTATCTCGTTCTTACTCAGCACTTTAACTCGCAGGAAAATAATATAACAGTATTTCAGTGCGTACATAAAATGAAACATGAATATACGTAAATGTCTCCGTCTCCGTCTAATGAGGCCGAAAATCCGCCATGTTTAGCGCGCCAAATGTCATTGTCACGTCAGTTCGGCCGTCTGTTTTGGGTTGTACATTATTTATTGACTTTGATATCGATTTAATATGATTGCTTATATAAAATTTCTAATTTTATCATGCTTAAAACATACAAAAATAATAATTAAAACATATTTTATAGGATCTCAAGAAGGTCGATGCCCCAAAACTATTATCTATATATATTTAAATTCATTATGGAGCCCTCATCCGAAACATAGATTATACACTTAATAATATATTTGAATCCGAAATATCGGACACCATTTTTCGGTCGGAATCTATTCATCATGACACTAATATAAATACCTCTTTAAAATATGTCATCAAAACATATTTAGACATTCTGTTTAGATATTTCGGGAAAAAGGCTACCGACAAAATCTCTTCGGAACTATTTAAATAAAATAGTTTTATTCCGCAGTGAGTAAAACATTATTGTAATTTCGTTAAATATTTATTAATTAAGTGATTTTAGAGAGGAAGTCACAAGGAATGACGTTTGTAATTTCATTAACGAATAAATGTTCTGTAGGTGTTTTTTTTAACAGGCGGTCTCTTGATATGTTTAAAATTTGAATCACTCTCAAGTGAGAGTGATTCAAATGGTGCGGTGCACCTTCCTTGAGGTACACTGCGGTAGTCTGTTACGGACTTTAGAGTCAGCAAAACAATTAAAATAGATTGTAATAGTCTAAGAAAAACACGTACTCAAAATACGATAACATTCAGCATGCTAAAAATGGGCTGATGGCACTGTACTATGCCATATTTTTATGTTTTGCGGCAAACGACAACTTTATAAAATCAGTGTAGCAAATTTTAAAAATCGTCATATCGTTTACTTGGAAGATTTGAAGCACGAACTCGTCTTAGATTTCACATAATATCTAAATCTCATCATCTTTGCACATAACAATATACTTAATTCCTATTAAAGTATAAATTCTACAAATACATTCATACTCAACAATATTTAAAATAAAATAAGCCAAGAACGTTTATCGATAAAACATACTAAAATTAAAATCTTCTGGGCAGCACTAAAACCGCCATGTTTTGTGGCCAGATGACGTCACAGTGGCACGAATTTTTTGTTGACGTTTCATTTCCATAGGTTTCTTACTTCAGTGTCAAGCACTGACATATCGTTAGTTAGTGCGGGTAGATACCACTAATATGTCTATTTCGGCTCTAATTCGCGTTCCAATTTTAAGGGTATGAGAATTTCAATCTTAAGTCAAGATAGTTAAGAGCGTTTATAACGTACAATTAGGACATCAAATAAAACTATTTTGACGTAAAAAGTTAATAAATGATACTGACCTTATTCTCTCCGTCGAGGTAGTAGTATGCGAGCAGTGCATCGTGGTGTGACGTCACGTTGAGTATTTGTTCGAAGGTGTCCGCATCCTCATAGGTTATTCTCACGTCACCGTACGTCACACGGAACTCACTCGCTCGTCTGCACGAAAAAAAATAACACGTGCAGATTAAGAAAAACACTCTAAAATAGCAAACCGATTTTTTTTTAAGTCACTTTGGCTCCATCGCCTTTGGCATCGATTTTGGAAATGTCAGAAATGTCAAAGTACCTATATACAAAAATAAAGGTGCTAAGAGAGAGAGAAAAAAAAAGTAAACCGAATTAAAACTATGAATTTCACCTTTTTTTATCCTGTTGATATTAGAGCGAAGTTAATTAAAATTATTGTATTTTCATCGATCTTCGATGCGTGTGCCAAATTTTCAAGTTAATAATAAGACGTTTTGAAGTCGACGAAAAGGACGTATAAAGATTCCGTTAAATCCAAACAAACATACATATTATCTATACCAAGCTAATAAGTGCGTGTTAAAAAATATTTAAAATCGTGCAAATAAGTGAAAGCTTTTTACGCTATTCTACTTCAAGATCCAAACGTTTCGGTCCAATACATAACCGTGTTGTGTTACTTGGATTTTGTGTTATATAATACGTATATCTGTTGTACATGTAATTGTAGTGTGTGCTAAAATAACTAAACCAGTATACTAAAGTAATTAGTATTTATTATGAATATATTTGTTGACTTTTAGTAAGTAGATAAGATTATTTATGCTACGGTAATACTTAGAAGTCTGGTATTTTGTTGCACTTAATCCTTTTTTCAATTGAATCCTTTTAAGTGGATTGATAACGTTCAATCGCTTCAACAATAATTAAAAACTTAGAACGTCCACCGATCTAAATAATTGAAAATTATTTACTGATGGTAGGACCTCTTGTGAGTCCGGACGGGTAGGTACCACCACCCTGCCTATTTCTGCCGCGAACCAGCAATGCGTTCCGATTTGAAGGGTGGGGCAACCGTTGTAACTATACTGAGACCTTAGAACTCATATTTCAAGGTGGGCGGCGGCTTTTACGTTGTAGATGTCTATGGGCTCCAGTAACCACTTAGCACCAGTTGGGCTATGAGCTCGTCCGCTTATCTATGCAATAAAAAAATTAAAAAAATACATTTTACATAGTGCAAATATTATTAGGACTACTAAACTATTCAATCAACATAATATTTACAAATGACACATCATTATCTTAGCTTGGTACCTACGTGAAACAAAGCGAAATTCTGTTCAAACGAACACATGGGAAGCGGGACGAACGGATAACGAATGTTCTTTGTTATATATGTATTGTGTTCGTCGATAAATTATAAACAAAACGATACAACGAAGGTTGTTTACAAATGATCTCTACTTGTTCTTATTCGATAAACATACAATAGATATTTGAGTTTCGTGTTATGACATCATCATTGTACTGTTCTGGAAGCTTGATAGTTGCTGGGCTATACGACAATGAGTTTGGTAAAAAAACAAAAATACCCTTCTTTTTGAAGTGAAACTTCTTTAGGCGCATGAGGGTAAATTTTTTACAGAACGTCACGCAGGTATGCAACGGAAGTGACATCAAACTACTATTGAAATTAAGTACTTGTCAAATGTCAGTAGTACTTAGTAGTTGTTGTATTTTTCCAACTGGAAAAGCAAATGTATCATACCATACAGCCTAATATTTTAAAATTTTTTCGTGAAAAATGTTAATAGGAATTGAAATGAAATGAAAAGAATTTGGAACATTAATCAAATAGCATGAAATTAAATTAGTCAATTCAGTTGGCAAAATATTAGTCATTTACAATTTAGAAATCTAAACATAATGTGACTGTCAACACTGAGGTTTGAGATTGACATTTGACAGACTTTTGGCTGGAACATATCTTCCCTTCCTCTAAGTTTCGGAAATCTAAAGTTTTATATTTATATAAATATAAGCAAGACTTATAAATTAGTTTCACTTCTGACATGTGTACTTTGTACGCACTTTTTTTGCCTACATAATAATAATAATAAATATTTACTAACGATCACGCCACGTTAACTGGTCCCGTGCTAAGTTCGTAAAGAACTTGTATTACAGGTGCCAGATAACGGAAATAAATGTAAGATTTTTATTATACACATGCATATATTTAATATACATCCATAACCCTGGAAAAGACATCATATATTTATCATACAAATATCTTCCCTCGGCGGGATTCGAACCCGCGACCGCCTTGTGTAGTGACCATGTCACTTACCACTACACCAGACAGCCGTTGAACCATATATACCTCTCTGCTATTGACTTCGAGGGGCTATTCTGGCTTAACCCTGACTCGTGGTGAATGAAGTTGCTATCATCTGCCTTAGCATCGAAATCTTAGGATCTTAGGATCGAAATCGTGATCCACTGAGAAGATCCGACGAGAAACTCAGCCGAACTTACAGACAATTCGATGTCAAGTGACTGTATCCTATAACGAAATTCCGCCATCCATCTTGGGAAATGAGGTCGCAATCTTAACTGTCCATTAGACCACGGACTCTGCCAATTATAATTATTATTGCTATCGCTCACTAACTAATGTTCCATTATTCAATCGTTAATTCAAATCTAATTAGCCCATACCAGATGAATTTCATAGCCGTCCTAGGATTTAATTATCAAACCCGTTATGCACAATGTTATTGTGCTTTTCGTAAATACGTCTTTACGAAACGTGGAAATTTAATTGAAAGTAAATCCATCTATATATTAATACGTGAAGCAAAAACTTTGTATCCCTTTTAACGAAAATTGCGCGGACGGAGGAGTATGAAATTTTCCACACTTATACAGAATATAGAGAAGTAGTGCACAATGCTAATATTTTCTTTAAATAATGCATAAAAGATATATTAAATCAATAAAGAAAACATTACACACACTACATACGCATGCATACTATTTATTGTCAAACTTTTGTTCTTGACGTCTGTGGTCAAATTGAGAATAGATTAAATATTGTTTGTCTTTGTTAATATTTTTTATAGTGTAGTCTTGGCGAAATTTGTGATTATAGAAGTATAAAATACAATCATAATAGTGTACAAACATACAATTCCAATTAATTATAGTCGACTACTGCGGGACCTCTAGTTCATACAAATGTACGTACAGGAGAAATTAAATAAAGCGAGTAATAATTTGATTTTAAATCGATTCTTTAAATCGATTAATGTTCATTGCTTGTATTCGCTTCTTGAATACGATGATCCTTCAATCTTGAACCCTAATGTATCCAACAGGATATTATTGTTCCTTCCTACTACGCACCGTCTGTTCTGAATAATCTAAACAATTGAAATAGTAATTACTAATAAGTGATCTCAGGGCTAATTCCCTGCCCAAGTCGACGAAACCGTGAACTTAATTACAATTACAAAACAAAACTCATTAAAACTGCGCTATAAACCTATTTTTTGATTGCGCTATTTAATTTATAAAAAATCGTAATCGGATTTCGATAGTGAAACTATTAGTTCGATTCTATTGTTTGAAAACTACAATTCTAAAGGTACTATACAACATTACCTAATACAGGACACAATGTACTTTAATTGCAAACAGATAAGAGTAAACTTTAAATGTCAAACGGTTGGTAAACGATTAGAAAATCGGACTTTGTTCCGGGTACGGTCGTTAATCGATTTGATAAAGAAGCACTATTGTTGTTTGTTGCTGACAGTTTTGAAAACGTTTTATGCGGATGTATATAGGTATCGTAAGTTTTAAGATAACGGCACCGGAGGGTTATTATTCAAAACTGCCGCGCAAAGTAACGAAATACGATTACTACACGATGTTATTCCTTCACCGTGGAAGTCAATCGTGAACAACGGTTGAGTACATAATTCATTAGAAAAATTGGTACCCGCCTACGGGATTCGAACACCCACCCGCGCATCGCTAAATACGAATGCACCGGACGACTTATTCCTTAGGCTACGACGACTTCAATTGTATGCACTCGTTGTTCACGTGTATAATAAATCATATCGTGAAGTAATTGCAACGGTGATGTCACTTAATCAGAGGTTTTAATCCGCTATTTTTAATCTGTTCCACCATTAAAAAAATGCGTTTTTATTTTATTAAGAAACAATATTAAAATATTAAATTAATCTAATCGCGGTTTAAAGATGACCTTCATGTAAGTTGATTTCATTTCGGTTTTATCGATACAATAATCGATCAGAACGTTGACTGCATCGATATCGTTATATTGCGCAATTATGATTTCTTGGTTCTATAAATAACATAAAATTGCAGAATCTTTTGTAAATTCATATTATTCTAATGGAATTTAATGTTTCTTTAGAGAACTGAGACTGGCTGCTTATATCAAGGGCTAAGTGGATATATTTACTTATGACATTTTAGGGATGTAGGTGTTGAAACTAAACCGATCGATTTAGCGTCTACTGTAGTGATTTTTTTTTAATAAATAAAATCCGACACCTCCTATCATTTCTTTTCACGTTAAACACATCATACAGCATAATGGTAATTTTTTTTTATTGTTTGGATGGGTGGACGAGCTCACAGCCCACCTGGTGTTAACTGGTTACTGGAGCCCATAGACATCTACAACGTAAATGCGCCACCCACTTTGAAATATAAGATCTAAGGTCTCAAGTATAGTTACAACGGCTGCCCTGCCCTTCAAACCGAAACGCATTGCTGTTTCCCGGCAGAAACAGGCAGGGTGGTGGTACCTACCCGTGCGGGCTCACATGGGGTCCTACCACCAGTAATTACGCAAATAATTTATTTGCGGGTTTGATTTTTATTACACGGTGTTATTCCTTCACCGTGGAAGTCAATCGTGAACATTTGTTAAGTACGTATTTCATTAGAAAAATTGATACCCGCCTACGGGATTCGAACACCCGCGCATCGCTAAATACGAATGTACCGGACGTCTTATCCTTTAGGCCACGACGACTTTAAAATGTAAAATGTTCGAGAAATAAATGCATTCTTATTATTACTAGGGGTGACAAAAGATGTTCCGATGCAGTGCATACACATGCGCGGGCCGCTAGAATCACTCAATGCAGTGCACGCTGATTTACGGGTCGCTTTAAAACTATGCATCTTACATTAATGTGTTACACTACTACACTATAGACAAAGATGAAAATATTAATAAAAAAAAACAAACAATATTCAATATGTTCTGAATTTGACCACGGACTTTAAGCAATAATTATATATATATATATATATATGTGTGTGTGAGTGTATGTATGTGTGTGTGCGCGTGCGTGTGTGTGTGTGTGTGTGTGTGTGTGTGTGTAATGTTTTTTTAATACATAATTTACAAAAAAATAATAACATTCTGCACTCCTCTATAAGTGTGGAAAATTTCATACTCCTCCGACCCCGAAATTTTCGTAAAAAGGGGTCCAAAGTTTTTGCTTCACGTATTAATATATAGATTACTAATATTATAAAGAGGAAAGATTTGTTTGTTTGTTTGTATTGAATAGGCTCCGAAACTACTGAACCGATTTGAAAAATGCTTTCACTGTTTGGAAGCTACACTATTCCCGAGTGACATAGGCTATAATCTTTTTTGAAAAAAAATAGGGATCCTTACTAAAACTCCAATAGTGTAACCCAAGGTGTAAAAAAATTACCTAAAATATTCTTTACTTCGCGTGCCCTGCGAAAACTATTGATGATAGAATAAAATAATGTACTACGACTTTGTAGACCGCATTATTATTTACAAAAAGTGTCGTGACAGCATATGTCTAACTTTTATAATTATGCCGCAATAAGTGTTTTTTTTTTAAATAGAACAACGTCAAATATCGTTGAATTTTTTGTTTAAGACCCGAGCGAAGCCGGAGCGGGCCGCTTGTAGATTATAAAATGCTTATTACTCACCGCCTCTCCAAGAGGTGTCCTTCGTTGGTTTCCCTCTTCGCCTCGGTGGTCAGCTTGTAGTATATCCTGGCCGCGGCTTCGGACCTGTCGTGCGACGTGTACACGAAGCCGTGGAGCTGCTGCAGGAGATTGAGGCTTAGCTTCCAGACTGACTTGCTCATCTTCGGCGTGCATGATACGAATCTGCGGAAGAGTTATTTTATTATATTCTACTGCTGGTAGGACCTCTTACTGGTGGTTGGATCTCTTGTGAGTCCGCACAGATAGATACCACCACCCCGCCTATTTCTGCCGTGAAGCAGTAATGCGTTTCTGTTTGAAGGGTGGGGTAGCCGTTGTAACTATACTGAGACCTTAGAACTTATATTTCAAGGTGGGTGGTGCATTTACGTTGTAGATGTCTATGGGATCCAGCAACCACTTAACACCAGGTGGCCTGTGAGCTTGTCCACCCATCTAAGAAATAAAAAAATAAAAAAATTGTGATGACGTGGATTAAAAGCATTGGATTATACCCGACTGTAAGGAGGGTAATGTTTTTTTTTCGGCGTATGTAGGTGTGTAATTCTTCGACTTGCCATTCAGCCTATTTAAGAATTTCAATATATGAGGTTTCATTAGATTCGTCTAAGTAATAAGAGTGAGATATTTACAAAATAGCTATTATTAATGCATTCAGGTTTTTTCTTAATTTTCAATTACTAATTAATTTTATTAGAGATTTTCTACTAGCTTCGTTCGCATGAGACTATTGTACGTTTGTCACTATGCGTGAAACGAATGGGAAAATAATTAAAACTACTTATAGTCTGTGGTCGAGTTTATTAAGCGTAATATTAATTTTGTAATTTCCAAATGTTACTTAACGTTTTGAGGTATTCATATGATCACGGACGATTCCTCAGCTTTAGAATTGGGGCTACAAATAAAGTAGGAACAAAATCGAGTGCATTAAAAGTTCAAAATGTTACACAAAAAAAACACTGCCCTTGTTGGTTTTTGGTGTAGTCATTTAAAAATATTATACATATTATTACGAGGTTAAACAGGTGATAAGAAAGTATTTGGACTTTTTGGCGGGAACGCGAGGAGTGAAGTTGTGTGATTTGTTTTATTTTGCCTAGTTAGTGTTTCTTCAGGTTTAAATGTGTAACAACGGTGCTTTATTAACTGTTTAGTATTTGTGAAAGTGCACAAATGTGGGAAAATGAAAAAAAGTCGCTGAGCGTAACTTCTCGGGATCCTCCAAAAAGTCCACTGAAAAAGCCTCAGTGAATGACCACCATTTTACTGAGATTATACTTCATTCCATATCATCTCATCTCATTTCATTTTCATTTCATTTCATGATATGTTTCAACTTCATTTCATTTCATAATATCATTTTTCATATAAAAAAGTTATCATTCAAAATTAAAATAAGACTTGACCAAAAGGTCTTAGTTACCAGGTCATAAAATCCCTTAAAAAAGGAAGTATTGGAGTTTCGATACTCCTGTTAGACATTAAACCATTATATATGTGGTACTAAGCTTCACTTATGTACAATACTCAGTCCACTTATAAGCAATACGCAGTCGTACTCAATCAAATCAGATAGAAAATATTGTAATAAAATATTTAGGAGGAACAAACTTCAAAATAAATTGTGAAATATAATCTATGGTGGTATTCCATTTATGTTTTCTATTCTGTTCTATTTTCTGACTTTTTTCAATTTCATCAAATACATTAGTATATTTCTATATTTGCGTGTTATAAGCCCGTACCTAATCACCATATCACCCATTTGAGAAATAGTCATAATGTTTTTTTTCGTTTTATACAGTAAAACAGCAGTTACATATAAAAATAAAATCAATTTGCACACGAGAAATTTAATCCACGAAAGATACACTCTATAACTAAACGTAAAACATTTACAATATAGGTAATATAAGAATTTAGATAATTCCGAAATTAATCTATTTTAATTTACGTCTTAGAAAAAACAATCTCATAATATGCCAGAAATCAGATTAGAAAACATTCCGATACTTCGATGCTGATAACTAAAGACCACACGTGCTGTTTGACGTAGAATCCACGTGGCAAGTTTCGAAACAAATAAAAAAAAACTAAAAAAAAAAAAACTCGCGGCCTTGACCGAATGACACATTGTGTTTGGAACGAACTACGATAGGGAAGTTGAGTAACGAATACAGATAATATAATAATGTTTACGAACGAATCGAAACAAAAAGCAGCAATGTGCGTCAGTTGGGGAACGTTGCGATAACATTGCATTTACGAACGTCTCATTACGAAAATATATGCTTGTAGTGTTATCAAAAATTAAATATTTAAAATTTACATTGTAATTACAAATATTTAATATTTGTACTAAATGTGATGAAGTTTATTTTTAAAAAGCTAACCTAAATTCGACAATAATCAAATGCGGTAATAAATGTAATTAATGTATAGGTATGGTGGAGAAATGGTCATTCAAAACAGAACCTTTCAAGTCGTTTTGAAATCATTAAAACAGTTTTAAAAGTTTATTGATGACGAAGCCCACGTCCCAACAAAAAAAAAAAGAAACGAGACAAACATGCAAAACATGTAGACAAAGGACAAAAAACCAAACTCATATATTATTAGATTGCGACTTCTATTGAAAGAATAGCTAAGAATTTCTACGTTTCACAGTAGATATTAATTAAAATCGCTCATGCAATAACTCAAAAATTTATTTACTGAATAATATAATTTACATAATTTTATATACTATAATTTACGTATAAGTAAAAAACCAATTTAAATAAATCCTTAATTAAATTATTGTTTTTTTTTTAAACAAAACTGTAATGGATTTACCACTGAAATTACCTTCAAATTTCATACAATTGCATGAGTATTCGTTGAAACGATTTTAAAGTCTTAGGACGTTTTTAAATATGCAAGGATAGTTACTGTTTTTTTTTTACTTTTCTAGTGACTTCGAGGGATAGTGCTAGATTCAAAGAACGAGTAGGTGGGCTCACGGGGTTCGAGCCTGGGACATTGCTAACACTAGAGAGCAGTGCTTTGCAATAGCCACCACCCTTCCTATTTATACTGCGATGCAGTAATGCGTTTCAGTTTGAGTGGGAGGAAATAGTAGTACTACAGAACTGCGACTTAGATTTAATGTCTCAAACTGTTGATGTAACCACTTAACATCAGGTGGGCCGTGAGCTCACTCTCCAGTCTAAATAATAAATAAAAAAATTCAAATTTCAAACCGGTTCAAAGTAGCGTTTGAATAAAACACATAATATCTATAAGAATACAAGTCTGATATGGGAAGCAAAACCCAAGGTACAGACCTCGATTTCTATACCTTGAAACATAGTATAAAATATAAAAGTAAAAGTTAAAAGCTCTATGATTGTCTATGCTTCGATACTGTGTCTGAATGTTTTCCTGATTTGATTGTTACTGAAACATTTGGGAGACTTTTTCCTAGTTGTCTTTTATTGTGTTATCCTTCTTGCTAGTAACCACATTAAATACAGGATATTGTTAATCTATTTATTTACTAATTTGTGTATTATAATATCCAATAATAAAAGTAGTTCTGTGTATTCGTTTGCCTACGTTTGCCGCTAGGGGCGCTGTTTCAACTGCATACAAATTTAAGTTAACTTTTACGCTATCGAGAACGTTAAAAAACTCGCACTAAGCACACTGATGACGTTATGCCTAGGCAATAGGGACATAGGGTTGTCGAAAAGAAAATTCACAATTAAATTAACAACCCTATCATCAAACTGCAGTACTTCAAAATTCGGCTATATAAATAAAGCTATTAACGTAAATTTTCTATTAAAAGTCGCAATCTAAAAACCCATCCTCCGGTGACGTCACGACCCAAACGAAACTGACCTAGTCATAATGTTGTTGTGCCGAACACAGCGCCTCCTACGGACCAGTACATTGCCGGCGACATTATACTGAACTGCATGCGTTTCTATCCTATCGGCAACACAGCTAAAAAGCATGATAATGTGTTAGTTTTTTTTTATTGCTTATATGTGTGGACGAGCTCACAGCCCACCTGGTGTTAAGTGGTTACTGGAGCCCGTATACATCTACAACGTAAATGCGCCACCCACCATGAGACATAAGTTCTAAGGCCTTGGTGTAGTTACAACGGCTGCCCCGCCCTTCAAACCCAAACGCATTACTGCTTCACGGCAGAAATAGGCAGGGTGGTGGTACCTATCCGTGCGGACTCACAAAGAGGTCCTACCACCAGTGAGTTAAAGATTTAAACTTGTTATTTGGATGGGTCGAGATAGGTTTCCGCAGACATAACAATTTTTTTACATTCGGAAAATTGTTTTTTCCCCTACCTAAACTAGTAACCTCGAGGGGTTATACTAGCTTCACCGAACGCACGCAAAATAGTAAATTGACCTCAAAAACTTATACTGTTGTGGTACTTCGTTCCCCTACTCTTTTTTGGAGACACAGCAACTGTCCACATAATATCATCGTTGGCAAAACAGTATATGTTATAAGCAAAAAGCATCACCTCTTAATATTATAACGTTACAATTTGGTTGGTAAACTAATCAAAAGTTTTAACGATATTTTGTTAACGCGCTTTTTTAAGCAAAGCTTTTAATAGCACTTGGTTTCTATGGATTAAACTCATAGAAACAATCATTATTATAGTCACTGTGGCCATTACCTTCTTATTTTATTTATTTCTTCTTTCTTTATTTGGCAATTTATGTGCTTGGCTTTGTATGCAATGTAATACTTTTTTTTTTTCAAAAAACAACCTCTCTACCTCTAGTATTCAACAGGACTTTCGAGCTAAGCGATTATAATTTTTAAGACATTCATAGGTAATTAAATAAAAAAACCAAGGTAAAGTAGCGATGTATTCTGCGGTGATAAATTAAACATGGCTATGTCCGATAGACTATAGTCCTATGTCCAGGATTGACAGTTACCACTTCTCTATTGTGTCGTACATCAGCAAATAAGTTTTAGAAATAATTTGTTTTAATTAAGTAACCATTAATTTTTTTACTAGCTTAAACTGAGACGCGACAAAACTGCGATGAAAACAATAAGCCTGCTAACCATAGCAGACAAGAATACACGCTACCCACATCTGACGTCATAAACCCGGGAGCAGCGAAACTTTAGGTACATTTGTTAGACCCAGATAAGTACAGCAGTGTGATTTAATTGATTTATTAGAATTATATATCAATTGATTCAGTCGTTTCAGGAATTTGTGTATACAAACGCGCATGCAAACAATTATCCTGCAAATTTTATTATAGTCTTGTATTATACATACATAGATTTTTTTTTATTTGCATAACAAATGACACACTTTCATAATAAAATTACAAATACACGCCAAAACATTTACAGCAAAACATTGATTACGTTCAAACGAGAACGCAGTTGATAGATAATGTTTGACGTAATCGAATTATCATTTTATGCAGCCCTAACTAAAGCGCTCCAAACATCACTGACGCCATTTTTGAAAATAAATATTTCGAATTTCGAGTAAATCTCGAAAGCGTATTAACTGCTCAATTAAAATACTGCCCAAACCCTGCTAGTAGTCTTTAGAATAGAATCCATAACTCAATCAGATATTCTAGTAGATAAACGCGAAGCAAATAATTTTTTGTAGGAGATATTTTACAGTTTTATTATTTAACGTGAATATGAATATGTAATAAAGTAGTAATAAGAAATTCTCGTATCTTCTTCTGTTCTCGTAAAAGCGGTGACAGTATAGTATACTACATTTTAAAATACATCTTAATCAAGGTGGTAATAGCACCAGCCAAACTTCAAAACAATTTTAGGTAGCCGATAAAACCCATAATACCGAAAACATCGTGGCAGAATTCCCAACTGATAAAAAAAACACTTACATACCAATTTTTATTGAGTCAAACAATATCAATCGATCAGATATGTATCTATGTAGATAGATCAGAAGATCAAAAATATGCAAAATACATCGCTGGCTGTAATACAGGCTACATATAGCAAGGATTAAAGGAAAATCGGCTTTGTATATTAAAATGAAGACAGATTGTTTACAGCATTACTTTATCTGGTATTGTTAATACGCTTTTATTAGCTTCACACGTATGTATGATTTTGACTACCTTCAAAACGTCGGATTAACTCGAAATTTGGTATACTTATTAAGGACCGATGATAATTCAATATTAAAAAAAATGAAAATATTTTTTTTGAAAAAATTTAAATTCTACTAAAAAATGAAAAATAAATAATAGTTTAAAAAAACTAACAAAATACGCTTTTATAGAAAATCCAACTAAAAAATAGAACATAAATTTTAATAAACTTGAATTAAAAATAGTGTAAAATAAAATGATTTTATTTTATTATATGTAAGTATGTATTGAATTTTATTGTAGAAAAGCGTGGGGTGAATGGTATCAGTAGTTATAAATATTTAGTAGAAGGGTTATTTTGGTAATATCCTGAAAAGCACCCCACGCTTTTTTACAAAAATTTTTTTTTTCTTACACTATTTTTAATTCAAATTTATTAAAATTTATCTTCTATTTTTAGTTGGATTTTCTATAAAAGCGTATTTTGTTAGTTTTTTTAAACTATTATTTATTTTATTTCTTAACTGTACATACGTATTATAATGTAAGCATTTCGTATTTGATTCTCACGAAACTTATAACATAACATCCTTATGAAACTTAACAGCGGTAGAGCGGTGAGGACTGCACTGGTGTTAGGCACTATTCGATCTGTTGCTGTTGCAAAGGACTCGCATCTCCAGAGTTTGAGAAGCGGAATGGTTATACTGTACAATTGAGACAGTTATAGTTTAATACCAATTAGGCGATGAGTACGTCAGCTGAATTAGACAAACAAATAAATAAACTTGAATTCTGTACAATTTTGATCACAATAAACATGTTTTCCAACTGGAAAATGCAACCCCCTAATCGAATAAGACGCCGTCTATTTTTTTTGTATTTTTTCCCTACCTATTATATGGTAGCCTAAGGGGCTATTCCAGATACGCCCAGACGGGTAGATAAGCTCAACCTGAGAGAATTTACTAACACTAGCCCTAGCAAGAGCAGTACTTCGAAAAGTCTACTACTGAATCGAAATCGCGACCCACTGAGAAGATTCGGCGAGAAACTCAGTGGACTGTGTTTATGGGTTAGTTCGCTCGTCGAAGGACGGTGGCCGCTGCTTGAGAGTCCTAAAAGCACCGAGAGTCAATCCGGAGGATCTGAGGAGACATGTTTCGGGCGACGCAGCCGCGACGTTGCCCTGTCGCGGTCGGATAAGACCAAACCGCCTATTTTATTTATTTATTTTTATTGCCGTTGTAGCGTCATAGCGCTCTGGAAACACAGTGGAGGGGAGCTCATTGCAAAGCCGGATGGTACGTGGCAAAATAGATGTCTGGAAACGCACTGTCGATGAAAGCAGCGGCTCCAGGTAGTATGGATGAACTCTACTCCGGTGGCGGGCAGTACGATGATAAAAACGAGATAATGGTATCATCTCAAACAATTCCTCAGAGCACTCCCCATGGACCATACGGTACAAAATACAGAGAGAAGGAAAGTTCCTCCGCAGACACAGAGGTTCAAGCTCGAATACATATCGAAGCTTACTTACCAAGGAAACAACAGACCTAGTGAACAGATAGAACGCGACCTACAAACATTACAAGATGAATAATACTAGATCTCGGTGCACGTGTACTGACGTTTGCTTTTGTCATTACATTATGATAGCAGTGTTGTAGCGTGTAGGCAAATAGCTGTCAGTTATAATATCGATCTCAACAATTTTAGTATTAAATTCAGTTTAAAAGAACGAAATTTTGGGGAAAGTCCTCAGTAGTGGATGTGCCCGTTATTGCTGACATCTCTGAGCGACGATCACCACTTATCTGCATAGTGATTGTCAAAAATACCTAAAAGATTTTAAACGCAGCTTTGACCAGCGTGTTAAGTGGGAGTTTTTTAACGCTCTCGATAGCGTAAGAGTTAACTCAAATTTGTATACAGTTGGAACAGCGCCCCTAGCGGGAAACGTAGGCAAGCGTTCCAGCTCCATACAAATTTGAGTTAACTTTTACGCTATCAAGAATGATAAAAAAAACTCGCACTAAGCACACAGTTAAGATATGTTTTGTTGTCATCGCTTGAGCATATTCAGTTGCGATTTTACTTCTTAACAGCACCAAATTACAAATATACTTTTGCCTACCAAGCGTAAGACAGGGTCAAGTGGAGACAACTTATGAGAGCTCTATGTACCAGCGGGGTACCCTAGGACCACAACAACAAGAAAAACCGCCAGTAACCTCGAGGCCTTATGCTGGCATCACCGAAAGCTCATCGGCGCTCAGCCTGAGAGAATTTGTTAACCGTAGCCTTTGCAAACCGATCTGCGCTGCGCTGACTTCTCGTGAAATTTGTTTATGTTACCAATAACAAGTTGGCCTGTTTGAAGTCTAACCCTATGGACCAAAAGAGTAATCATTAAATAATGATCTACCTTCTAGTATTGGAAAAGTATGCGCGTAACGAATAAAAAGGTGCACCAAATTTTCATGATTTTTTAACAATATGATGACCGCGGTCGATATTCACCTATATAAGGAACTTGATTTCGTCAATTCTAAATGTTGTTTCCCCTTGGAGTTTGAGAGCCCCCTGATGATAATGCAATATTACGGTACTATCCAGTTGGTCTGATGATGAAGTTACAAGGCGGGCTATGGAACAGTTTCAAGTCATGTCGTCGATTTACAACTAATCAGACACACATATAAAGTGGGTAATGATCCTTGAATGGCTATCAGTAACCTATATCTCTTTAACTAGATACGACCGATCCGGTGGACCGAATGGTAAACAGTCGACGTCGCCCTAAACACGTCATTACGGATCCTCCCGATCCATTAACGGTGCTATTAGGTACTTCAAGCACTGGTCACCGTCTTCGCCGAACCCGTCGCTTGCGACGAAGGGCTCGACGAGTAAATTAACCCTCAGACACAGCCCACTGAGTTTCTCGTCGGATCTTCTCAGTGGGTCGCGTTTCCGATCCGGCGGTAGATTCTGCGAAGCACTGCTTTTGCTAGGGCCAGTGTTAGCAAAACCTTCTGTTTGAGCCCCGAGAGCTCACCTACTAGTTCGGTAAATCTAGAATAACCCCTCGAGCTTACTAGAATAGGTAGGAGAAAAAGAAAAATAGACACGACAGATAAGCACTAATAAAATATAATTTGCGTAATTACTGGACCTCTTGTGAGTCCGCGCGGTTAGATACCACCACCCTGCCTATTTCTGCCGTGAAGCAGTAATGCGTTTCGGTTTGAAGGGTGGGGCAGCTGTTGTAACTAACTATACTGAGACCTTAGAACTCATATCTCAAGGTGGGTGACGCCTTTACGTGGTAGATGTCTATGGGCTCCGGTAACCACTTAAAAACCAGGGTGGGCTGTGAGCTCGTCCACGCACCTAAGCAACAAAAATAAGTACCGTCGAACATAACTGACACTTACTTGGTGAATGTAGCATACATAATGTCGATGGGCACTCGGTACGGCAGCGTCAGGAGGTTCAGGTATCGGACGGCACGTTGCTTCATCACCCAGTTCACGATGCCGTTGTTGGCCGAATCGATGGCATTTTGGAATATCGTCATCACCGTGTCCGGTAGATCGTCCACTAATGCATCCTAGAATATTTACAAAACATTAATACAGAACGGTCACGGTAGGCAGCGGCTTGACTCTGCCCCCCTGGCATTGCTGAAGTCCATGGGCGACGGTAACCACTCACCATCAGGTAGGCCGTGTGCTCGTTTACCTACAAGGGCAATAAAAAAAATAAAAAATAAAAGAATACGCTTCTATCGAAAAACAATGCACATATTATATTGTAACCACAATGGTTTTCGAGACAATAAGTTTTCTATAGTGACAGAAACTATATAGGTGCGTACAAAATTTCTTTCGTAATTTCTGTTATGAGCTTTTTGTATTCAGTAAAATTCCAAACAGAAATATCAACATAAGAAAAAAAATATTGGAATATGATTTTAAACCAAAAACGAGGGGTCACTGACCTATGCAATTCTAGAGACAGTTTTTTTTTAATTATCATTAGCGGTTTATTTATGAGGCATTTTGGCGCTCATATTTTTTTTAAAAATAGACTAAGTGTGATTTAAAGGTAAACATATTCTTGTGAAATTAATATTTAATAACAAAATAACTAACGCCTAATCATTCCCTGCTCTCGAAAGATAGTAATTGCCTTTTGCCTTGATTGACACACTTGACACATATTCATTTAGATAACCGAACATTGTTATACGCAAAACATGTTTTGCTAGATAATTTAATAATATTACGAAAATTCTTACTCAAATTAAGCATTCTACTGGAGATTGGACGTGTTGTGAACTACATTAAAAGCTTAAAAATCATCTGGACCGCAAGCCTGGTGGTAGGACCTCTTCTCACTGGTAGTGGGACCTCTTGTGAGTCCGTGCGGATAGGTACCACCACCCTGCCTATTTCTGCCGTGAAGCAGTAATGCGTTTCGGTTTGAAGGGCGGGGCAGCCGTTGTAACCATACTTGAGACCTTACAACTTATATCTCAAGATGGGTGGCGCTTTTACGCTGTAGATGTCTAAGCGCCACCCATGGGCTCCGGTAACCACTTAACACCAGGGTGGGTTGTGAGCTCGTCCACCCATCTAAGCAATAAAAAAAAATCCGCTTAGGCAAATGGCGAAAGGAAAAAAATCTAAAGCAGTTGAAGCCGTTTTTCTAGTGATATTATTCACAATACCTGTCTATGGGTCTTGCACTCTTCACAATCCGGATCATAATCGTACGTTGTGTCATCCAAGACGTCTTGAAGCTGGAAGGTCGACTGCACGGCGAGACATCTCGTGCAAGATATCAGGTTGTTTCTGTGCAAGAATCGAAGAGCGTCGTCGAAGCCTTGCTTGCACATGTTGCTTAAGACTTCGGGTTTCGGAGGGAAAAGGATACGAGCGAATCGATTCATGTTTTGTTTTGATAGCTCTATACTCGTGTTCGCTAGGTTTACCTATTAAAAAAAAACCACATCATTATGTAAAGAAAAACCTTGTATATTTAAAACTCTTTAGTTTTTAAAAAGGATTTTTGTTCAATTTCATTCAGTGAAGTCTATCATTCAGTAAAAAGAAAGTTCAGTTTTGTATAATATATGAATACTGTTAAAAATATTAAATGAGATTATGGGCTTTAAATGTTATTTTCTTATTATATCACAGAAAAAGCAAATTAAGTTTTTTATTATTTTTTAAATCTGAAATATTTCATATCATTACATACATATATATATTTAATTTCTTTAACAAAGCGTCTATTTTGAACTGAACTCTGTTTTTACGGAAACCTCAATTGTTTTTCCGGCATTGGTGATTGAACTGTTCAGGAATTAAGCCTATAATATATTTAGTAGTAGCTTAGGTAGGTAACAACTTAGTCTTAACAGCTTAACAACTTAGCCTAGCATTTTTGACGTGCGCAAACCACAATATTAATTATCATTATTTAAAGAGCCATATGTGATAATGTAGTATGACTGATTTCGTTGACAGTAACATCTGTTACTTATTTATTAGTAAGATTATGCTTTAATTTCGTACCTATTTAAATATTTAAAAAATCGTAATACTTACGTGGAATAACTGTGAACTCAAATCCCTAGGACATATATCGCTCTCCCCGCAGAAGGGACTGACCGTGATGGTGTTCTCATCTAACACTGGCAGGTTATCACTGAACCCTCCATCCATATACCTGATGCCGTGGAATCGGGGGGGCAACAGGCCAGAAAATACTGGGACAAAGCATGACGCCATCACCGCCTTTAAAAAAAAAAAACTCGTTACAGTTGTACGATTTATAAATAAAACTTAATATCTTGTAAGAACCTTCCAAAACATTTTAATGAAAATACGGCTAGTAAACGAAATAGCTATATAAAATACAAAATCACCAGCATATGGATAACCACGATGTAAATCTTAACAAGGACTGTCATAAAAGTAATAAATGGCTTATTTTAGTTTTTTATTAAAATTATATGTACTGATGGTAGAACGTCTTGTGAGTCCACCACCCTGCCTATTTCTGCCGTGAAGCAGTAATGCGTTTCAGTTCGAAGGGTGGGGCAGCCGTTGTACTGTAAAAACTGAAATCTAGAACTCAAGTTGGGTGGCTACGTTTACGGTGTAGATGTCTATAAGCTCCAGTAACCACTTATCACTAGGTGGGCCATAAGCTCGTCTATTCATCTAAGTAAAAACAACAATTACTCATAATATGCATTAAGGGTAAAGTTATAATTTTGAAAATTATTGTTTCAATCATTAGTATTTCTTATATTAGAAAAGTATGCGAATGCCAACCTAAGAGATGCTGATTAATGATGCACTAGATGTGCCCATAAATCGACAAGACTATTCACAGTCGAAATCCAGATTGATCACTATTCTCAAATTTGTAGCAAAGACAGATTTTATTGAACATCTATTTTACTGTGTACCCAATAATAGTGGAACCAACCTGTAATAAATCTTCTCTTGTAGGGAACTCCGATACAATAACATTCTTCCCATCGTATACTCTGGTTAGTGATATATGTAGTTTACCGCTCACTATCTTATGGGCGTCTTCGGGTAAATATTTCTCCATGCCCTCGAGGAGCACATTTTGAATGTTGAATGAAGGGCTAAAGGGTCCGAGGGACCCTGACCTTGCTTCGCGGACCACTCTGAGAACATCAGATGTGATTTCACCTAAGTAATGAAACGAGGATCTCATTTAAAATTTATTTATGTAATAACTTGTCCCAGAAAAGCAAAAATCAATTAATTAATTAAAAATCTTTGTTCATCCGTACATCCTGCATTTTGTGGATTCCATTACACTTTATTAATACAATTACTAGATCAGAATCATATGGGTGACTCCTAATAATAGCTAGGTAACTGTAATTTATCAAGAACAATATTGAAATCTCAAAAAATACTAAAATAAATAGTTGCATTTTATATATGAAAACTTCACACAAAGAAATGTTCTGATTGGGATGACACTGCTATGCTAGCCTCTTTCAAATCTATTTACTAGTTTATTATATAATATATATCAATCTAAATTATGACAAAGAAAATTTGTTTCATACTTAAAACACAACTATAGCAAATATCCTCCTGAACTAACATACATACATAATACAACCTATACTTCTGCCCAGCTGTATTTAATAGATGTTAAATTAAGAAGTATTGAAAAGTTAGGAGTGGACTTCGAATGTTTTTTTTATTTTTATTTACTAACACTTAAACAAAATAAATAAATTGAACAAAATTTCCAAACTAGTAATTTTCATTTAAAAAAAAATTAAATTAACTGTGTAGGTATGATATCAACTCCACATTGTCATATCAAATCTCATATATTGAAGATTTATTAAAATTCTGTTGTACTCTACAAAAATAGGTTAATGACCTTCTTTGTATGAGAACTTATCAAACCTTGCCCTTGAATTGGTTAAACCTTACAATTTTAAAGGTGTGCTGTTATAAATAGGTAAGTTTTTTTCAGTATTTTTTGTCACTCATAATTTGTTGCAAAAACTGCAAAGCAGCAAAGGCAAGCCAAAACAAAAAACTTTAGCTTTAAAAATAATACATGCTGATATAAAATGTAATTAAAAATAAATTGATAAAAAATATATTATTACAATGATTCTTTTATTATTTTAATTAAACACCAGTATTTATGAAATAGAAGTCATTATATTCTGCTGATTTGCTGAAGTACTACACTTTTTATCTATAAAACATTAGGTGTATTAGGGAAATTTGTTAAAATTAAAAATGTAGGTATAATTGAATTGTTTTATACTATTATATTTATTTAATTTAAAACGATTTTCATTGGGCATCAGATCATTTCTATTGTACCCAAAAAAAAAAAAATTATCAATTGTCGTCACCATGCTTGTAGGGAAAAAAACGCACCTATGGGCAAATCACAGAGCAAGCAACAGGCTGACAAAGCTCCAAAAGAAGCTCCTGATATCTTCCCTAGAAGGAGATGAGGCGCATATTTCTTGAAACAAACTGCAACACCAACATGGTAAATCCCGAGGAAGCCACAACCAGCGAACGATAAGTTCATTCTTATTCACATCAACTATTAAAAATCAAATAAAAACACAAGGTTTTAAATAAATAAATAAAACTATTTGAAATTTGAATATCGCCACTAGATTATCGCTTTAAAACAATTACACGATTAGATTAATTTAATCACAGATAATTTTTATCACAATGACAGCGATTTAATTGTTTAAATGTATCATAAAGATCACCAGTTTCTAGCGAGAAACTCGATAAACTAAAATTGAAACACGAACTTAAAATGTAAATACTGAATAAAATGAGGTAAACAAGACAAACATTGACATGCAAACCATTGACGTCATAAAGTAGCGACTTATTTCTTATTTCCCCGATTTCACGATTTTGGTTTGTTTCATTGATATATACAGGCAAAAGAAACATGCCCATACGACACTTTTCAATGTCAGGGCGAAACAATATTAACCTTAAATATAATAGAAACGCTAATTGAAATGGAAACACCAAAACATCTGGTGCACGTTATGAGAAAACTATACGAGAAAAGAACTGCATAAGTGCGAACAAAATATGTTTAGTTTAAGAGTTTGACCTCAGTTCCAGCATTCGTCAAGGATATATATTATTACCGATCATAATCAACATCTCTAGCTTTTTTTTTTTCTACCTATGCTGATAGGCTTGAGAGGCTATTTCAGCCTCGCGGCCAGCTCACGGGGCCCAAACCGGAGAGCTGTTAATACTGACCCTAGCAAGAGCAGTGCTTCGCAGAATCTACCACCGGATCGGAAACGCGACCCACTGAGAAGATCTGGCGAGAAACTCAGTGGGCTGTGTCTGTGGGTTAATTCGCTCGTCGAGCCCTTCGTCGCAAGCGACGGGTTCGAAGAGGACGGTGACCGGTGCTTGTGGTGCCTAAAAGCACCGTTAATGGAGCAGGAGGATCCGTAATGACGTGCTTTGGGCGACGTCGACGGTTTACCATTCGGTCTACTGGCTCGGGTATGTAGTTTCCAGCGGCCACGATGAGATGGTTCTCATGTCGTGCCGCCTTCTCAAAATGGCGCAGCGATGCCAACTGTAGATACTTGCTAACTGAATCGAGCTCCAGTCATCGTGGAGATTCACGTTCCTCAGGAACCATGGAGACTAATCGGACGGTAACTAGCGTTTGTTTGGGTTTGCCCGACTTATGTATACCGATAACGTCCGCTTCTTTCCACACCGCGGGAAAGATGCAGTGCGTCATAGCGGCATTTAAAATGGTAGCCAACATTGCTATCAGTTGGACTGGTAAAAGTTTTAACGCGCGGTTGCGGATGCCGTCGGAGCCGGGTGCCTTCTTAGGTTGGAGGTTGTGGATCGCGTCTCTAACTTCGTCAGTGCTAATGGGGGGTAACGCGTCCGAGGGCGGCAGGGAAGCTCTGCACTCGACTAACTTGGTGTGTTCGGGGTCCGCGTATTGAGTGCTAGTGGTGCACTGCTCTTGCAGCGCATCGGCCAGCAGCTCAGCCTTGTCATCGTCATCGAAAGCCGGTGGTTGGCCTGAAGGGCGTATGAGGGGAGGCATAGTAGCGGTAGTTTCGGACTCTAGCTCTAAGTAGTAGAACTTATCATGAGAATTACTTCGAGAGCTCGACCGATGGTATTTCCATTGAAGGATCAGAAATAAGTGTTGAAGGATGACACCACCTTGTTTGCTACCAGTGCTGGCTACATTGAAAATCTTCTGGTAAAGATGGAAATATTGAGAACAATACTAATAAAACTAGTGCTACGAAGACTAGATTAGACAGATCTTTGGTATTCTCGGTTTTTTATGCGCCACAGAACCTGGACTTTGCTAAATAGAGAGAAACACAAGACTGCGGCAAGACAGACGCACTTGAAATATAGTGCTTCGGGGTGGGGATCTATCCCACACTACCAAGAGTGCCACCATTCTGTCAAGAGTGTAGCAACGAAGAAGAAGAATGGTTCGGGCTTATAATGGTGGCGTAACAATTTTCTTTGGAGAAAATGTTCTAGTTTAAAAGTCTAAAATTGAAGATAAAGGGTAGGTACTTCATTCACCAATATGTTTGACACAATTTGACTTTTTTAGAATTTTTTTTAGTCGGTCAATGAGACGTCTCTAATTCCTTTTTTATACAATATTTGTTAGAAAAATCAACCAAATATTAAATGTAACAAACATTTTCAGATTGAACAGTCATATTCTATCAGAAAGGGCTACAATTTTTGCTAACTTCATTTCATCTCTATCGAAACTTACTCGCTATTACTTTGTGTCCCTTACTACATTTAAAAATGAAACAGAATAAATTGAATTATCTTCAATCTGCTTAATTTCATTCTTCGGACAAGACGTGGCTCAAACTTTCTTTTGTAAGATTGTATGGGCTACATTCCCTTTGCTCTTTTTCTAATAGATAAGCTAAAACATACCCATAGATTATACACATATTAATATTGTACTACCTACACTTAATAAACAATTAATTTAAATAAACAGTTTTAAAAATGACTCGACACGCTCGAAATTGTACAGCAGGTGCTGTGTATACATATCATGAAAAGAAAAAGGACGCTGCTGCTTCTGGCTACGGTACTCAAAGTGAACGTGTCGGAAAAGACTCCATAAAAAATTTTGATTGCTGCAGCCTAACATTACAGCCTTGTAGAAACCCTGTGGTCACAAAAGAAGGCTACTTATTCGATAAGGAAGCTATTTTAGAGTACATCATCAGTAAGAAGAACGCATATAACCGCTTATTAAAGAAATATGAGAAACAATTAAAAAAAGATGAAGTTGAAAGAGCCGAGCTTGCGGTGGCTGAAAAAGAAGCGAAACTCATNTTTGATTGCTGCAGCCTAACATTACAGCCTTGTAGAAACCCTGTGGTCACAAAAGAAGGCTACTTATTCGATAAGGAAGCTATTTTAGAGTACATCATCAGTAAGAAGAACGCATATAACCGCTTATTAAAGAAATATGAGAAACAATTAAAAAAAGATGAAGTTGAAAGAGCCGAGCTTGCGGTGGCTGAAAAAGAAGCGAAACTCATTAAATTCATGAACAGGGAAAAAAATATTTCATCTACTACACCAAGTACTTCAGCTATAGAGGAAAAAACGATAAATTCAGTATCAAATATAGCGAATGGTAAAGAAAAACAGTTACCTAGTTTTTGGGTACCATCCCAACTTCCCGATGCAAAGATTTCGAAAATAGAAAAACCTGATCCAACCGTTTACTGTCCGATCAGCGGCAAACCATTGAAGATGAAGGATTTAATAGAAGTTAAGTGGACATTGGTGAATGATCCAGATGATAAGAAGTCTTTAATAGCCAAAGAAAACCGGTACATGTGTCCAGTGACACATGATATATTAAGTAATGCTGTGCCCTGCGCTGTTATCAGGTGATCACATAGCATAAAATTCAAAATATATACTACTGAATAAATCCATTTTGATTTTATGATCTTGTAAATCTATTTTAATACCAAACTAAATTTCAACAACAAAACAAATTTACCTTGATTTTTTAAATACTCACAAAATATAACTTTTGATTATGAGAAGATATTAAAGTAAAATAGACAGTAAAATTTCTTTATTTTCCAGAACTTCAGGACATGTTGTGACAATGGAATGTGTTGAGAAAATCATAAAAAAAGATTGGTTGCATCCATTAACTGGCGAGAAACTTAAAGAAAAAGATATAATTCTACTGCAAAGAGGGGGCACTGGATATGCACTCACCAATCAAAACCTAGAAGGGAAAAATGAAAGGCCTGTTTTACAAGCGTAATTAAATAAATATCTGTAGAACAAAAATAATATATACAGTCAAAACTGTTTACTGCGACATCGTTTAGAACAACATGCCGGTTATAATAACCTAGAACAAAGGTCCCGGCTGAATGCTATATGACCGCCTTATTAAAAACATTGCTTTATACGACATTGCTAATAACGACATACCTCATAAAACGACCACATTTAACTAATATTTCGTAGAATTAGATCTGTTACTACGACCGGCTAAACTGTATTGTAAACAATTTGAATAGGTATCCACATTTGTCTTCAATGGCTATTAAAATCAGGAAAGAAAACAATAGGATTTAGTTTAGTGTAGGGTTTTTTCTAATTCTTAGAAACAAAACACGTGCATGCAGTTACTGTACCAACTTTGAATGATGGTATCAATGCTGTTAGTGTATTAAGAAAGATTGTTCTTTTTAATGAACAGTTCCACATCCACGACAATTATGACGATACCTTAATTAAAATCCAACGTGAATTACTAAATATCTATGCACAACAGAAGTGTTCCAAACAGACCAAAATTACAAATTTTATGCTCACAGAAAAATAATATGCATTGTACTTATGTGTAATAAACAAAATGTACATAGTTGAATAAATATATTTTTCCAGTAATTCCCCATCGATTTGTTTGTACTTGCACGATACACATTAAACGTTACGACTTACGTCGGTTGTTACGACTATCGGTTATTACGACTGAATATGAGCAGTCCCTTCGATGTCGTTATAACAGATTTTGACTGTAGTTAGATTGTGAGAATATTCATTTACACTTTGTGTTCTGTATGAATGTTCCTCCAATTTTGTTTTGTTTTTTGTGGGAATTTCTTTTTAATTTTTTTTATTGTGTAGAAGAGTGGACAAGCTCATGGCCCACCTGGTGTTAAGTGGTTACCAGAGCCCGTAGACATCTACAACATAAATGCCGCCACCTACCTTGAGAAAAGAGTTCTAAGGTCTCAATTTTAATAGTACATATCTTAAGATAAAAATCAGTTTTAAATTTAGATCATGGTGGAGGTCAACATTCCTCACGTACTACAATGCTCTCATGGCTATCCTGCAGAAACGGGATAACCAGAATGTATGATTGATAATTCTCTACCATAGAAGTAGATAATGATTAGCAGTAGTAGTAACTCAAGTTTGCTTATTTACACATTGTAAGACATCATCACCATTGATATTTTTTCTTCTAAGTTTTTATTTCAGGTATTTATAATGTAATGATGTAATGTTGATGTGTTGTTGATGTGTGTATAATAAAAAAAAAGTTGATTATGAATTGAATATATAGTTGTATTAATTTTAAACTACTGCTTGGTTCTTATAAATAAAAGAAAGTTTTTAATATATAGTAAATAGTCATTACTTTATTTAAAATATCAATAGTAAACTCTAATTAAACTAACTAAAAATAGGTATTAGCTTACATTATTACGACTCAGGTTATTTATATATGAATAATCGTAATGCATTACATAATTAACATTTGTTCCATATTAAATGTGAGATCTTAATATGATTATTAAATTTCTCTTTCCATTAAAGAAAAAGGTCTAATTCTCATACAGGTGTTTTCAATATAAATTCCAGTAATGTACATCAATTCTTATGTTTTAACCTTCAGTTAATTTTGATTCAACCCAATAGGCAATTTACTTTTATATAAATAAAATCAAGAGAAAGAATTGCTTTAATAATAAGTAAAATTTGTATGTACATGTCTAGCTCTCAGGAAAAAGAGCGGACATCCATTCCAGATTTGTGCTATGAAAACACCAACAGTATTTTAATCATCATTACAAAAGTTAAACCTATGTATTTGTAAATGAAAATAAATCTAAATTGAAGTCTGATGTACCTGATCTTATTTCCATTCCCGGATATGAAAGGCATGTACTACCTAAACTATCGAGGAAATTAAGCACCGAATCACTTTGGTTTGATTCTGAGCACACATTTGTTAGAATATCTTGAGTTACATCACTTATATTACTTCTAGTGCTGCTGACTTTATTTGTATCTGTATCTTTAACATGTATTAATGAAGGTTCAATTAAACTGTCCGGTTTTGTAAATCCATCTTCAGACTTGTCACTAGAGAGTATCCAGCTCTGATCTATTGCATTCTCTTTACATGGTAATTCAATATCATTATTAATTAAACCATTAATGTTATTTGTTTCTTCAAAAGCTTTGTCAACCATGTTCACGGCCCCTATTATTTGACCATCATAATTAGATAATTTATCTGGGGTTATTTGAAACTTCCGAAAAACTGTGGATGTTGGTTTTATAGGTGATGATCTGATATCAAAATGTGTGCTGTGGAACTGTATATGATTATTCTTGCTTTGGTCTAATGTAACTTTGTTATTAACGTCATTGCACTCATTTGATGCCACCATTGATTCATTGAATCTACTGGTGTCTATACCTAACTTAGTCAATAGATCTTCAGATTCGAAACTAAGTCTTTTAGTTTCGTTTAAGTCTTCTTCTCTTTTTACAGCTAAATCTAATTCTAATAACGTATGTTTTTCGTCTAATCTAATTTTTTTGGCGCCACTATTTTGAGCCTTTAACTTTTTTAATTTCCAAACTCTTTTATTTACCGTCGGCCAGTTTTCTGCGGAACTAATTCTTGCGCAATCTTCTGTATCCGGAATCATTGCTTCTTCGTGATTTGTTATTAATAATTCCGATGGTTGGTTCACTTCAACATTACTCTGATTTTGGGTAGTGGAGGGATTATGCATGCAGAAGCCATCTTTATCTTTTATACAACTTAAAGCATTTACATCTATATTATATTTTCCTGGATCCATTCCCAGTATCCTGCAAACATAATCACACTTAGTTGTACATGTATAAAAATCGACGTGTGTATATCTTCCCTATAGACTCTGAAATGGCTGGAATGATTTAGATGAAATATGTCAAAAATTTTGTCTGAGCATAGCATTTTGTAATGTCCGTTTTACCAGCCGATGTAATCGGGTTTGCTGATTGTACATAAATGTGTAGTCTGTTTCTTACTGCCTTACTGTTTAATAAATAAACGGTTAATAAAAAAATACTAACAAATTTTCATTATAAGAACTTACCTCCCTATATCATCATTGATTGTGCAAGGTTTTCCCTCATTGCCCTCCATCGTATTCAGTAAACATGGCAAAAGAGACTTTAGCTTCACAATCAATTGTTCCAACTGTTGTATAAATATATTAGTCCTGTCTTCTTCAGAACCACCTTTTACAATTGCCAGTAGACAGTGAAACAGGTTTGAATGGATCTTGGCTGGTATGTGGGTGGGATGGTTTTCATAATGCTTTTGTAGACGATAAAGACTAGCAAACTCCTGGAAATGTTTATAATCCATATATAAGAATTCAATCGTATTGTATATTATTATCGGTTACGTGGCTTTTATAAAGGCCGCTTATATAATTTTTAATAGAAATATTTGTAAAGTTGTTTCTCACTTTTTTGTAAAATTGTTTTGAATTAATCAGGAAATTGAATCAAAAATACACAGAGTTGACATCTTCAAGTTTATGGGACTGCAAAGACACTGAAATAATATCTGCGTTGCTTACTATTTATTTTCCTCATTAGGAACACATGAGATTATTTGAAATTGTATAAGGCAATACAGGAATGAACAAAATTATAATCTTGACATTAAATGTCTTTTTATCCTGTTGGCACCCTCAGGTTAAATGTTCAGTTATACTGATGAGTGAACCGGAACACCTGATTACTGCAAGTAGCTGGGACTGGAGGCATTGATACATGATAACTTATAATATACCTTATTAGCAGTACTTCAGATAAAAAAAGAACAAAAAAGAGAAGCTGTTGACAATAGATAAATCCCCAATTCATTGTAGCATCTGATCCGAATTACATCAGAAAACATTATTGTATACAGTTTAATTATTTTTTTATTTTGCAATAAACTCTGTGTATATATGTATTATGTACTACTGTTTTCAAGGTGCCGATATTTTACTCAGTGTTATATGTCTGAATGTTTAATCATACTTCCCCATAATTTTAAAACTTACAGTTGAACATTGGAAACAGGTGACTACATGATTTTTCTTTTTAGGTTTCTGTGGAGTGTCCTGCGGTACTATCAGCTTTGGATGTTTCACTGTTCTACCACTTCGTGTGACTTTGGTCTGAAAAAGTTATTCTTCTGTTAGCATCAACAATCACTGCACACAAATTAAGTTTAAATTTGAATAAAATTGGAACTGTTATCCTTTGGTCCACTACCACCCTGTTCACATATTTCCTCTCTATAATTATAATTAACTTTAAAATTTAAGAAAGAAATGCTCACCACGGCAGGCAGCTCTGGTTCGTCTACAAAATCTTCAATAACAATCTGTTTTTTCACAAATTCTTTTTTCGGTATCTCAATCTTTTTTTCTTCTTTCTTCTCTTTAAAGATGATGTTCTTTTTACCTGCGATAACGAGGTCCTTCGGAGAAATAACCCTATATGAAAAAAATAGCTTTATTCAAATATAATAAAACTACTCCAAAGTTACCTGACATATTATGTTGATATACACTGAACTATGATACACTAATACACAAAATTGTTTATTTTATAACAAATTATAAAGGAGTAAAGGAGTAAATAAAAAAAAGGTAAGGGACTCTACCAAACTGAACCGAAGAGAGATTGATAATGAAAGAAGACACTTTTAGTTACACTCTGTTTAGGATTATAATTTTAAATAAGATGATTTAGTATAATAACAATTAAAGTACTTTTACGATTTAATCTCGCCGTTTTTATATTCATTATATTATTTTCAACATTGAGACTACTTTAATTTTCTTCACCACAGATGGTTTTTTACTTATATATTGCAGATAGACAATGAATGAAATTATTCTAGTGTCCGATCTTCTTGTTGGTTACTACAGTTTAACAAAGTGCAAATTTGTGTAAAGCCATGTTCACAGCATTCCTTCATAAATATTTTTTGAAAGTAAAATTAGACAAGAATAAAATTTGTCACTTAAACTTACTTATATATAAACTTTGTG